TTTTTTTTTTTTTTTTTTTTAAAGACATGCATGAATTCTCGTTTTCTCCAATATATAACTGGAAAGGGTGTCATCAAGAAATGTTAGAAGGCTTCATTACACAGTAAGCCAGAATATTATTTTATAAACAAAAAAAGATAAAAAATATCTTTGTAGCATTTATCTGAATTTTATGTGATGGTTATATGTGGGTTGAGGTAAACCACATTGGTTCAGTTGCCTTGACACCATGTTGAATTATATGAATTTGCTGGAGTCTATCAGTGCTAAGCTGTAAGTTTCTTCTTAGCACAGTTGCTGACTTCAATAAAAATTATTTTTCCTTGCAATAAAGAAAAGAAACACAAATACCAAACACCATTTGTCATTCTTATGTTTTTAAAATTCTGTGTAAAAAAATTGTCACATCTTGCACGTCTCACATTTCTGGTAACTCGTGTTGAGAAGACGTGCCAGAAATCTCGTCAGCTTCCTCTAGTCTATCCAGTAACTGTTTCATGGCACTCTTCACTTGAATAACCTCACGCTGAACAGTGTTCAGTTCACTCTGAATTTTGGTAGTAGAGTCTTTCACCTTCCCTTTCTCTGCTAAATATCTCATGACCAGCTTCCCCATCAGTGTCTAAAATAATAGTAAAATTACATTTAAACTAATTTATTCCCCTTGTGGCTTAACACATGGGTTGCTTTAAAAAATCTGCAGTTGTTATGTACTTGAACCAAGTCTTTTGATGTTTTATAAATGAAAAAAAGGCAAGCTGCAAGTGACAAGTGTTAAATCGCTAATGTTCATCTTATGTACCTCATATCTCCCATCTTTCTGATTTTCTATCTCCTCGTCATCTTCAAAAAAGCAACATCTCTGAAAGAAAAAAAAAATACTTCTAAGTACTAAAACCAAGCTGTGCAGTCACAAGTCTGGCACAACTATTACGCAGTACAACTAACGTGGTCATAACCCCAATTATAAGGGCATGCTTGCTGAAACAATAAAAATATGATCAACATAATCTAAGTACATTTTCAGAGTTAATTCTATTCAGAAAAAAATTGTTTACTTGTAAAAGAGGCAAATTCCCAATGTATCCCAATAAAAAAGGAGAAAACATACTGTCTTCAAGTTTTCAATAGTAGAGGATCAAGTTAGAAAGAGTATATGAATTGAGGGGTGCTTCCACCCTCACCTTTCTGCTGCAGTTTGCCTTTGGGTGCCCCCTACACCAACTGCACATCCAGTAGACCAGTCTGTATACACTCTTAGGACTGGGAATGAGGTTGAAGGGCGGCGGTAATGTTCCTATCTCTTCAAAGAATATCATCCACACTTTAGTCCGTGCAAATTTCCACTCGACATCCTTGTTGTCCTATCATAATGGAAAACAATGGTGATCTAAATTTCTAAAAAGTCCTCAGCTGATAATATGCAAACCATTATTCAACTTTTGGTTTTATGCAACTTATTTGTGTTACGAACAATTCTCAGTTTCAATTTGATTTAACAGAAACTCCTTTGAGACCTTTGATGTTCTCACCTGTACTTTCTGAAAGGAGTGAGACATCATAGCAATCAACAAGTTGATCAAAACAATGACAACTATAATGTTGAACACTGCAAACAGCACATAGCCCACTCCCTCAGTGAAACTGTGCTCATTGGCTACAATGTGGCTGCCATTGGTGCCCTGGTTGGAGATCACAACTTTGGCAGAGTCAACAGGCGACAGTCCAAATATTGCCCAGAACAAGGTTTTGAAAGTGGCCCTAATGCTAAGAAAATGTAAGGATAAATACTGTTAATGTGGAAAATTTGCAGCGTGTATGCAATGTTCTAAGAGGTCAAATTTTTCACAAGTTACCCTTTCAAACATTTGATCATTAATTCTCCAACCAGCTGTCTACATACGTAATAAACGACTCCAACTGGACGTGCTCAGTTCCATCAGGATCAATCCTCTTATGCCCCCTATAATACTGATACAGCTTGCTGAGTCCCGTGCTAAAGGAAACCATGATGATCAGAAAGATGCTCAGGAACACCATAATGTCCTTGAACATTCTGCTGATTGATACCTGAAAGGAATGGGGGGTGACAAAAGTAGTGCAAATTCTCCAAACGCAAAGAAAAATTCACATTCGCTGCTGATCAAGATTCTCATCATGCTTTAAGTTTACTTATCACTGCATGTGTTCTCCAAATTCCAATCCAAAACTTGCCACAACTGTCGTTCAGAGATTATTTACTTAGGACTAAAAACAAACCTATCGAAATACCTGCAATGGACCTATATCTGGATTGAGCTGGAACAAAAACAGCAATCTCCCAAATGACAAGATGGTTGACAATGCAAAGAGACCTTCAGCTAAGAGAGTTGGGTCGAACTGATTCCAATATTTCCTTTCCAAATTGATTTCATCGTGCACTTGAGTGTCCAAATAGGCCCACCCCCAAGCTAAGAAGGTGGCAATGAACAGAGCACGGTGGATCACATCATACCTGGAATACACATAAACTTCAGAGAACAACTGTGAAGTAACCTATATCACTTATCAAATTAATAGTAACACTCCACTAGTAAAGACTCGGTTTAATCACTAAACAACTTGAAAATCATCTCATGTGCACAGTCCTTCATATTAAATATAAAACACTACATGTGCAGTGAGACTGGCTATGATCATTTCAGTATTACCAGTTCCACCATTGCTTGAAATAACGCTTGCATCCATGGAACCAGAGTTGGTTTAAGTCCACCCACAGCAAACCTAACACATACACAAATATCCACCACTCAAGACCTGTAACAGGATTAGTTACAAAGATTTTAATATTAAAATATGCTCTGGCATTTGACCAAATCTTTTTAAAGAACATTTATATACTTGAGAAAAATCTATACTACAAATAAAATCAAATCTTAAAATTATAGCATTATAACTATATCCAAAATAAAAGTAAATATGTTTATTAAATGATGTCAAGGGACATTTCTCTCTACCTGTGTCTGGGGGTCCTCTGATGTAACTTATCGTATCCATGTCATTTTGAATATACAGAATCAAGAGGAAAAACACATACGAGATGGTCCAGCTGATGAATTTGGTCAAAGGTGATTTCAGTTTCTTGCTAAGTCCTGAATTTGGCGCCATCAAATAGAAAAGGGCGATTAAGGGCAGGAAGATGGTTTGAAGGAAAATTATGAGAGCTTTGGAAAATGAACCCATCCTTCTCCAATCCTCCCATCCCTCAATCCAGGCAGCGTACAGAACTTGCTGGGAACTGTGGTGAGCTACAAACTAAAAGGAGTGGAAAAAGGTAACTCGATCATACATGGTATTCTACATGCACTATAGCAAAATCAGTTGCATTCCTTTACATATTGAAAGCACAAGATCTCAAATTTAAATAAATAAAAAAATTGCAAATTGCATATTTGATATCCAATGGCAGAGAAAAATATAACTGACACTAAACTAAGTAAAATACATCATATTATGCATCAAGCAAATATCTGACTTATCAAACATGGTGTATTATTACAATTATCTTTTCCAATTAAACATTAAAATCAACTTGAAAACCCACTTCTTTCTGCTCACAGTCTATAGCCTTGAGAAGGCGTGTGAATTTCAGTGGTTTGTCTCCTGGAGAGGAGTATCCCTCTCTTCTCTCCAACAGGAGCTGGACTTCCTTACTGCTCCTGCACTGTGTTAGGAGGTCCACTGCAAACTTCTCCACTTGGTCTGCTAAAGCAATGTACTCTTTCTGAAATTTCAAGTTTGACATATATGACCCATGTCAATTTTTTTTCGAAAGAAAATAATAAATGCCTTTTTTATTTAAGATAGTTATATACCTGGAACTGAAATGAAAACAACATCTGAATATTTTAAATGTTTACACATGCTTATCAAAATCATTCATCAGAAAATGTGGGTTCAGACCTTTCAAATATATACATACTGCTTTACTTTACCAACAAATAAAAATCTTTTTGGTTCCTCAGTAAGCTTTTCAGTAGGATCACTTTTTAGTGACATTCCTCACCTTAAATGACCTGTCATTATTAGCACATTGGTAGAGATCAAAGCTTAGACTGAATGCAGTGAGGACAGGGTCTGCAGATGACTGGCAGATATAATTAGGACTAGCAAGTGCTTTGTAGATATTGTACCGAACACGAGTTGAATTCACATATTCCCATTTTGTTTGTCTTTTACATTCTTTGCATGGGCCTATTAAAGAGATGTGGCAAAAGCAAAGGAGAGAAATTGTGAGGTGTGAAGATTAAATGTACAAGAAATGCATTGATATATATGCAGGCACATACACACACACACACACACACACACACATGGACTCCCACACATGCATATATACAAATACTTTAGTCAAAAGATCATAGTAACAAGTCTCAGTGAGCAAGAAATGTGAAAAAAAAGATACATAAAAGAGTGTGAATTTCATAGAACTCAAATTGTATCTGTCACAATATCAAATACATGAACTCACAGCTGGGCTGGTGTGGTGGAGGCAGAGTGTACCCTCTCTCCAGTAACAGCTGGATCAGCTCATAGTTGCCCAAGTGTGCAGCCAGCATCAGTGGTGTAATATCAGGTGGAAAATCAGGACTGTGCAAGGCAACATTTCTTTTCTCTGATTCAAAGCTTTGGCTGCAACAAAATATTCAGAACTTGGGCAGGCCCTTAACACATCAAGCTGTATTCTGTAGTGATATTCATACACTTTAAAAGGTACTAATGAATAATGAAGCAGCAATGGTTCTCCCCAAGTTCACATTAAGTTGAGTCCAGCCAGGAGACTCCATTTAGTTGACTCTCTTACATAACAGCTGGCTAAAAGTTGTCAATCTCTCAAAATGCACTGGGACAGATTGTATCATTGCAGTATACTGTTCCAGGCCTTAGGTAGTAACAGTAGCAGTATTCATTTCAGAGCAGATGGGATATATAATTTATAAACTATTACATTATTTTCAAGTGAAATTGTTATCAATTATCAGTATTTCTCAAAAAATTATTCACTTTAAAAAAAAATTCAAAAGTCAAAAGTTTTAGGATTGCCATTATCAATATTCCTGCAAAATTAAAAAAAAAAACAATTTTCAGGTGTCAAAATTCCAAAACGCAGATCAAAGAATGCCCCACAACTAAAATAATAATTTTTATTTACCTCTGTTTATCAAGAAGTAATGTTAAAATGCCTGCATGGCCACTCTGTATAGCATGCAGCACACAGTCTCCAACAATGACGTCATATTGTACCAGGCACTGCACCATCTTGTACAGACCAAGTTTGACAGCAAGCTGCAGTCCAGTCCTACCCTGATAGTTTTGACAGTTCACATTGAAGTTCTTGTTTTTCTGGAAGTGTAATGTTGTTCTGCTTCATAAGACCATGTTACTTCTTTATTCTTATTTCATTTAATTATTTTTCTTTGCTTATTTCTTTCTTTTCTTTTCTGCAAATTATGACCTCATAATGTTAAACTTAAGTCCTAAAATTACCTTAATTTACTCTAATATTATCACTATAAATTTCCCATGCTTAAGTACCTGAATACTAAATCCCCCATTCAGAAATGTCAAGCCATATTCTTTAATGCTTTGTGCTTCATAACTTCAACCTTCTCACCTTCAAGAATTCCTCAAGTTCTTCAACACTTTTCTTTTGAATGATTTCAAAGAAAACCTTTTCTGTCTTTTCTAGATTAGGTAGCAGTATACTTGGTTTGAATGTCGCTGGTTCAAGTACCACTGACCTACTATTATACCCAAGTGTCTGAAGGCTTGTTACTTCCCTTGGGCGTTGTTGCCGGGAATGGAAGCGTCTGTAATTCGTTTTTGTCATTTGCAGTATGTTCCTGCTGAAAGTTAAAGGAAGACATTACTACTCTTCAGATACAGGCGTATAAGAGTGGCTGTTACAGTTAAACTTAAATGGAAATTGTTATACTAGAACCACGTTTACATGTGCTAGACTGGCCTACTGATATAAATATTAATGACCCCCCCCCCCCTTCTACCTAAATGATGGTAACTTGAACTTCCAAGACTTCCTCCTCAAAATAGAGGGTCGTGGGTTGGTTATGTTAAACCAGTAAAGAGTTGCACAAAATACTCACCAATACTTCAGTTGAGCAGGAGTCTTTAACGTATGAAATTTCCCCTAGAGTTGGTTTACAATAATAGAACAGCGATTAAGATATAGAGCGACGCTCAATATACACCAAAAACTTTATAAACAACCGCCATTGCTTTCTTTACATGACGTCACGTTGGATTTCCAAAACGAGGTCCACGCTTTTTGTTTCAATGACAGTGATATAGGCTACTGCCAGTTGACGCAAGACATGTTAGTAGTTAGGCTTACTTTCTCTCCTGACATAGCGAAAAAGTAAAACGTACCTAGGCGTAATTATGTGGACATTTGCCAATCTTGAAGGCATTTACGGGATAGTTTTGTGTTTGGGACTGAATTATGGTTAGAGAACCCTATATAACTATGCGGTAGGCTTAATAAGGCTGGATCGACTTCCTGATTGGGTCTAGTAGTAGTAGTAGCCTAGTGGTAGAAGTTCTACAATTTTATAACACTAGATATGCGAAGAGAGCAAAAAGAAAAATCTAGAGTATATGGATGCTGCAAAGATGACACACAACAGTATCAAACTGTAATAAACGTTTAGAAGATGCAAAAAACTGTAATAAATGTTTAGAAAATGTTATAAACTGTAGGCCTAATAGGCCTAAACATTTAGAAAATAAAACTTGAAGACAAAAAATAGCAATTTCTAATTAATACAAGTTAGAGACTTAGATAGGTAATCGCTGGTAATTTTGCTCAGCAAACACAATAGCCTATAAGCCTATACACTTACAAGTTGCAATCGAGATAAATAGGGTTCTGAATGTTGAACCAGTTGCGCCTTTGTGGAGGGGGCATTTTCTAGTATTGCTATTTTTGTTCAGTCGATAAGGCCTATAACGAATTTTGGGATTGGCTGTGAGTTATTCATATATGCATATAATATATATATTTTGTAAGTTAGTCGAAAAAAAAAATGGTAAAAATTAAAGATCATACTTAGAGGGTCATAGTGTCAGGAGGATTTCGTTTGTTTCACTGGAGAACGAAAAAAGGAGGCGATATCTGAAAAACGCGACTGTTCTGTCTGAATAAAAAAGGCGAAAACGCCACTAACGTAAGGGGAAAATTAAGACTAAAAATCGGAATGAAAATGCGTTTGAATCGAAACTTTTGCAAACTTGTTTTCACACCAGCCGAATCAATTTGAAGAAGGGGGTGGGGGTGATTTTGAGGATGTAATAAATCAGCTGTATATCAGACATAAAGCTATTGGACATTAAAATTCAAAAAGAAGTAGAAAAAGCCATATTTACAATGACAACAATGAAACAGGTGTCGAACGTTGCCTGCTAGCTCCAAATCGCTGCGGTTTAAATACAATCGTTTTTATTAAGAGTAATATGAAGGCGGACTTATGTGTAGGTATAGTCGAATAGTGGATTTGAAGGACTTGCACTTTGAACAGTGGAATGCATGATGTATACTGGTAACAGTTACGAATCTGACACATCTGATACGCCGAAGTAGGTCACATAATACTTTACAAGTAGGAAAAGGGTGAACAGAAAGCCTGGTCTATTACACTCCTTCGGCTTTTTAGACCTGTTATGTTCAGTATAATTTTAAGATACAACGCCAGGTTTAACGAAAGGCAGGTAGACTTTTCTTTTTCCTTAATCTTGTATTATAACTTAAATATATTGTGTTCATATGAATGATGGAGGAAATAGAAAATTATGACGATGAATGAGACATTGCACAAAAAGTACTATCTAGTTGGCTATCTCTTTTAAAGACAGTACATCATTACAAGCGACTTCTTCCCGGGATTCCTATTGTTTAAAGTATCCCGGAAAAATAAATCATTCCATGTAACTTGTGGGCCTGCTTGGTAGTTTTACTGCTGAGATTCATTTGGCAGATGTCAGGACGTGAGTGGGAAGTGACCTGGTTTGAATGAGTCCTCTCTTGCTTGTTTTAAAATATTCACTTTACTTAAGAACAAGTTCTTAAATATAACTAGACTTTGTAAAGTTTGCGTAATATTTTCTCAGAGCTGTATAGTGAGAGTAGACGCATGGGTATAAGATGATTTAGATGGTTTAAATGCAATGTACAACTGTGTACAAGCTCAAAACATTGGTCTTATTAACTTTATTTCAGATGATTTTATCCCGCACAGGATAAGGCTATCTCGAAGAGCTATCTCTATAAGGTAAACGAGAGAAGTGTGGAAACCGTTTGCATCGGGAAAATAAGTAGGCCCCTAATAAGTCTCTCTCTGCCATGCTCTTCCTCTGTTTCTCTCTCTCTCTCTCTCTCTCTCTCTCACACACACACACACGCTTCCTTGCTCTCTCTCTCTCTCTCTCTCTCACACACACACACACACACACTCACACACACATACACACACGCTTCCTTTCTCTCTCTCTCTCTCTCACACACACACACACACACACACGCTTCCTTGCTCTCTCTCTCTCTCTCTCACACACACACCTGTCACACACACACACATACATACACACACACACACACACATGTGCATTGTCATACTTTTTTGCATTTCTTCCTGCTCGCAATCATATTAATATTCCGTATACATTTGATTTCAGTGCTGTACAATGATTTCAAATCCGTGACTGATAGATGCCGGCGGGCTACATGTTGAGAAAATACAGAAAGATAGTGAGGCGAATCGTAACTTCAGAAAAACGTTAATGAAAGCCGTAGGAGGGACGATGCCAGATAGTTGTAAAATTGACGTCGTTTGTTATGGCATGCGAGCAGTTGCCATCACATTTGCAATTCTTGCCTTCGTGTTTGGGACAATAATGTGTTTTATGATGTATAAATACTATGCTCTTCTACGAAATTACAGACGGATCGATCCGATGCTTATTGGGGAAGAAAGAACACGAGACGAGGAAAATGAAGGTCGTGATTGGACCGATTCCCAGACGTTTTCTATGTAATACCTTTGTAATAATGAAAATATGCTCACCTTATATGTCATTATCGCCGTCCAACAAACGTCTTTTGTGTACACAAAAGTACTTAGAACAACGGACATAGTGAAATAATTGATATTTATTGTGACTGTAGAAATCGCAGAGAAACATATTGAAATAAAATTGCCTGGAAGTGAGTCCTTACGTTGCCTTGTAAGATTATTTTGACATGATTATATTCCAGGCTTTCGTGGCTAAATGAAAGAGCAAGTGGTACGTCGGTATCTCTGGAACTTTCCACCACGTAAAGAGAAGACTGATAAGCACATTACAACCGTCACGATTATAGAAAATAAAATTAATATAATTTAAATTGATGATTGTGACCGTATCGACATTCAAAATCAATGCAAAATGACAACACATAATGAAACAGCGTCAGGGTTATAAAAGGCATGGTGATGTGGAACGCCCAGGATACTTCTAATCTTTTCTACATTTTGCAAAAAGTGATTATCCAACACTGGGTTGGTTATTGCTGGAAACTATTATTCCAGTTATCGACAGAATTGGAAGTGAATTTCATCTCTGACATAAAATACCCTCTCTGTGTGTCTTCCTGGTAAAGTCAGTACAATTGGGATATTCTCAGTGATCGTTAAAAGGAGAATATGCAGTAAAGTTCGTGCTTGCAGTCTCATATTTCTGTCTTTATGCTGCTCCTCTTGTTACTCAGATAGCGAGTCTTTGCCATTTGTACTGATCCCACAATTGTTAGTAGTAAGCATATTAAACAGCGTCTCGTCCTTTAAGCAACCTTGCACGAATTCGTCTTTGGTGAGAACGCCGTCACAATTAGTGTCCATCTTTTTGAAAATGGATCTTGCTCTCTCCTTTGGGCTGCTCTCTAACTGAGGTTCCCTACCAACTAAGCTGTAGATCGCCTGAAATAGATGACATAGATAAGCGAAACGCTGGGAGGTACTCATGTGCACTGAGGTCATAGATTACTGACTTTTAAAATCCGTGGAGCTTAAAAATATAGTACCGAATATTCCATACCAGAGACCAGCTTTCAATATTTTGCTGAACAGTTTTGTGGACAGAATTAGCCAGAAAATATCTATAAATTGTTAAAGAAAAATATCCCTGTGGCCCCGACAGTGGGTATATACAATGCATATCTTATCTGTATTTCTACTCGTTCTTATTTTGACATCATTCAGTCGACAAAGTCCGGTCACAGATATTCACTTTAAGTATCTCCGTCATCTCATGCTCCTCAATGGTACCATTCCTGTCTATGTCATACAGCCGAAATGCCAGGGCCAGCTTCTCCTCTGGTTCTCCTGATTTGGTTATACTAATTGCCTGAAATTTTAATGCAAATGATATTAGTAGATAATAAAGACTGTCACCAATTTGAACTGTGTATTTTTTAAAATGTGTCATGGCAATATATTACTTTTCTACAATAATAGAAGAGCCTATTTTAAGTAATATATTCGTGTTATAAAGGAGTTGGTTTTTTATGTAAAGCTTTCATATCCATGCAATATAATTTGACACTAGTAAATCCTCAATTTACACTGGTTACAAGGGACATCGGTGTCAGAAAAAAACCGCGTTCCAGATCTCAAAGTATTGATCGGAGAAGTGACAGTAATCTCTTAACTCTCCAGTCTTGATCTAATAATTTAAAACTATTGACTGTAAAAATGTGCTACCTAGCACACCCTGGGACCTGCATACTACAGTGATAGTCCCCAATTACTATTACCTCGTACTAACGCCCGGCTCAAATGAAATGAAATTGTTGGATTAGGGGTGCTACAGATATAAATAAACATAAAGAAAATATCTGTTTGGAAAATATCTTAAATATAATCCTACTGGCACCCGTACTCAACCTCATTTATAAATTGCGCTAAATGGACTCAAATTGTTTGTATTTTGATACTTCCAATTTCTAAGCAATTAGGTTTCCATGAAGCATTTTCAAAATCTATACCCAAGCGTCTGTAGTTACGCCGGAGACAATAATTAAAGAATGCCGTATACTCACTACTAAGAATTCCTTGAAATCGATGGCACCACTGTTGTCTTCGTCGAATGTCCGGAAAACGTGTTCGTAAAATGACTTGGCTTTGCTGTCGGGGAAGAATTCTGAATAAAGGTCGAGGAATTTACTTCTGGTCAAGGATCCTTCAGGGCAGTCTTTCTGGAAATATAATGAACAACACGATCAGCATCAATTAAGATTGCTTTTGACCAGAAATCACATCAGAGGCACCTGTATGTCTTTACTGAAATCTAGGTACCAGTTCCTAGTACGCCTTCATTCCGTATTTTTTCACCTTTATCATATACATTCATAACAGGTCAGTTATTGTTATAAAAGCCACAGGTTGTGTTTCAGTTCATTAACGAGAGGTCTATCTAGACTTTCACAGAGCATGTTTCCGCCATGCCAAAAATATAAATATGAGAAACCACGAAATGTAAAAATCTTGATGTTTAATGCTGTACCTAATCATGAAGTCTGCGTTACGATGTCTTGTTTCCAAAAAGAAAGTATGTGATAGACTTCATACAAGAATAAGCTTAACTTTCCAATAATACACATAATTGCCCCCAAGTTGCGTTTCATTTCAACTATGTAATGAAAATGTCGCGTGAAAATCTAGATCGCTTTGCTGGATTTGCAAATCCGCAGAGACCAATTTTCGCCCAGATTTAGCAACCGTGGGACGATCATTTACACGTTTGTATTCGCCGTAGGTGGGGAATGCCAATTAAGTAAATAGTATCTCTGAAGGACAAACCCTCAAGGAGACGGGGTACAACAAGGGTGACGTACATAGAGTTGCCAAGAACCACAACCGAGAAAAACAGAGATGCTGTAGTACCTGACTTTTTGAAGTGCCCATACCAGTGCGTCGATAAGAAATTGAACATTATCCGGACAAGCAGAAAATCAAATGATTTGTATAGCGAAAAGAAACTAGACCTACATGGACTGAGAACATAAGTTTATGCCGGCTTCTCTCTTTATTTTCGATTTGCACAAAAAAAAAAAAAAAAAAAAAAGCAAGGTTGGATAACTTGGGTACTGTAACAAATTGTGGGAAATTTCCTCCAAAGGCGATACGTTAAAGATTAGACATTTCGCTGCCTGACTCTACTAATAGACCAACTCTCGGAGGACGTTCATTCATTTCGTTTGCATCTGCATCAACTGCAGGAAGGTCAAACCTGTGATAATTCTTTAATTTTATTATCAGCCTCATCAGATACATACAGCAAAAAAGCCAACTAGCGCGTCCGTCCATGGAAAAAACATTTCGCAAATGTGCCTGCGTCCAATAAATTGGTTTAAGGTATTGAAGTGGAGAGAACGTGGCTTTCCCGGTAGATATTGATGTCCTATGAGACTTCTGCCTCGACTACTTACACGTGGCAGGCATTTGTTTAATGGGTAGTGGTGACAGACCGTGTATTTATATCTTCAGTTTCCAGTACACTAACTCTCACTGAACCTTCTACCTTGGGTTTGCCTTCACCTTCTCATCCATTATACTGATCACATTTTGTACTTGGCAAGAAAAGTAATACCACACAAAATCATGAGTCATGTAACCCAAACTTTAATATGTTTCAGTACATGAATATACAGTCTAATATACGACATTCACATCGAAGATTTGATCTTTTTCAATAACGTACCATGATTTTTTATGAAGAATGTGATATACATATTGATGTTGTTCTTTACAATATACCATGGATCACAAGTTAGAGAGCATTCACATCGAGAAGAGCCGAGGTCTAGCAAGGCAGAGACCTAAATATGGCGGACCTACATGAAAGGAAGACCGGGGAAACCATTTAATGGTCTCTCAATGACATTCACTGACATTCATTGAGAGACCATTAAAGGATTACGCGGTTCTTCTCGATGTGAATGCTCTCTAAGCGTATATGTTCCGTGAATGATACCATAGTTACGCATCACTCTGTAGCTAAAAAATGGTGCAAAAAAATAACTATTAAGTGAATCAGATGGAGGAATGCACATGCCCCAAACACAATAAGAATGCTTGTGGATAATAATCAAATGGTGACAAAGATCATTCAAAGCTTGTCATATATTAACATCAATGGCCAAAAGAGTGTATGGGACCTGTATGATTTAATGTTACAAGGGTGAGTATTTGGGTTTCATTTGTGATCAAGGAACACCAATTTCACAGTGGCAATATCATACAAAATACCTTATATTCACTATATTATTAAAGATTATATGTTAACCACACACTATTGTGAAAAATGCATCAGGGAAATCTTTATAACATTGTGAATATTTACTAGAAAAAACATTTCGTGTCACTATGGATTTTTTTTTATTTTGTTTTTGAAGTCAATGTAAAATTGTAAGTTTATCGAAGAAAACAATATATTCATATTTTAATATCTTAAAGCAAATAGTGCCTGGGTCCAATTTCCTATCAGGAATTCTTCATAGTCCCCCAGGACTGTGTACTATTTGTTTATTATTAAAAGTTTCTTATAGATTAACAGGTAGATCTAAATGAAGAGATTATCTCGTTATGCTACACAAAATAAAGTAGAACATTATCAGTGAGCATTGGGTTATTCTTTCCGTGCGTATGTGTATTTCTTCTAGCTCGAATCTGAGAGATCAGTGGCATAAACAAATAGAAGGGATTATGCTGTGGCCAGCACCTGTGTTATAAAACGTCAATTAACCAATAACAGCAATAAAGAAAACGGAAAGCAAATCAATTCTGACCGATTTCGGCCAATGTTAATGTTGTGTGTTCATTATTGTTATGTTTATAGAACTTGATCGGTGAATTGCAATTGTAATCTGTCACTCAGGCCGCACACACTGTCACCACCTATGGAAATCTGGAAACTGGACACTGATTACATAGTTGTAGTCTGAACGATTTGATCAATCTCTTGATCAAACCATCGAAAACAATTGAACATGAATTATATTTAGGCGTATTATATCATTGCTAAATGATGAAATTTGCCAAGATATGTGTAGTGGTTTTCCTGTATCTGGAATAGGTAAATCTATAAAAACAATTTGCAGAATGCTCCATCGGTACGCAATGCTTGTCAAAATGCAATACACTAAGTTTGTGTTAATAGTATATACATGCTTTTACGTTTGAAAAGTTTTATCTTATTACGAACAGACGAATCTACTAAGGGGTCATTAAGTGATGAACCTTTCGTGCTCTTGAGAGTTCACCCACCACATGACCTGCTCACAATATACATTTTCAGTTGAAACTAGAAGGACGCTCTGAGAAGGATACATATCTGGTTTTCAATATTTTGGTTAAGGACGAGCGATAACCACAGAAATTGCCTTGACTTATCTAATTTAGTTTAAGCCATTTCTTTTTGGACATTTTATCATACTGCAGGCAGTGAAAACATCGGGTACATACAGGGGCAGATCCATAATTATTTGAAGTGGGGGGGGGGGTCCGCGGATGCGCAGCCGACCCCCCCCCCCCCTTTGGCGTGGGTTTCGGGGCCCGCTGAAGGCCCCGAAAAATTTTGATATTTTAGAGGGCGAACGGTGCCATTTGATCTTGTTTAGAACTTTAATTCAGCTAGTCAAAATTCCAATTTCAAGAGGGGACCATCGGTGGGATTGCTTTCAGAAATCGAAGGTGGGTGGGGGGTGGTCAGGACCCCACTGACAACCTTCCCTAAATCCGTCATTGTAAATATACCTGTACTGGAACTTCTGGCTAACAGTCATTTTTGTGTGTGGGCTAGATGATTGTGATTTAGCGGCACCTTGTTGCATTTGCCTCTGTTATCTCCAGTAAGTGTGTGACATGCTTCTTACTAATTAATGTGCACAAGATTCACCAAAGAGACTGATCACAGTCCAACATGTCCTACACTAAGAAAGGACTTTACGCATTTACATTAACGATTGATTCCTTCACTACCAAGATGATATTCCCCTTAGCCAAGATGAACTGTTACCTGTCTGAACGGGACTGTTCAATGATTTGCATTTATTTTCAGGTCTCCATAATTGGCCTATCAAATGATATCATCACTTCAGAAAATGCTACACACCGCGGCAAAAATCGATGTATGCATCAGTGATTTAGATGCAAGTTCACTGCCACCATCTTATGAGTACTGAGAGATAAACGCTGCAAGTGATAAAATGTGCCTTAAGATAATCACAGTGTATCATTACTTTTCATTTCCGGAAATTGCACAAAATCGTCGTTAACTGCCACTTCTCTCAGTTTGCTTCTAAATACAAATAAAGGATGCTCTCTTAGTTGGCATTTTAAAGTTTACTTCAATTTTTTAGGAACATGAATAACACAAGCACAGTATTGGCCGACAAATTATGGCAATTTAAGATACCATCAAAGTCACATCGAGTTGAAGTGCGTGTTTTATTAGGCTGGATTCTGCAACAAATTAAAATATATAAGATCTATTATCTCTCGCGGGTACTTTCAACATTGGCATGATCTAATTTGTGTTTGAGAAAGACAAAGAAAAGGGAACATTAACAAAAACCAATACAATTTCCGGGAAATGCCAAAGTGTAAGAAACGTATCTGTTGATACTTGATCCAAACCAGAGAAGAAAGATCAAAGATTATTCCTCTGACACAGAATAATTCCCAGAAGTGTGGTTGGACCTAGTTAGAATTCTCTCTCTCCCCCCTCGAAAAAAAATCGTACTTAATTAAGAACGAATGACTATTGCCTAAATATTAAAATGTTTTGAATAAAATGCTTCAAGAAAAATGACATTGCCTTTTCTGCAACGAAGTGGAAAGTAAAGAATAAGTGCTGTTAAATGCAATTATTGAGACACTTCCTCCTAACCTTCAGGTTAAAACAACCTGGAAAATTCAGTACATTACTTATCTAAAAATGTTGTTATCAATCATTTACAACTATGTTCCTGCAAGTTTTAAGAGAAACAAAAGCTCAGACTGCGCCAGGAGAAAGCGTTAAGACTGCACTTCATGGAGCCCGTTATCCCTGCCCGTAATCACCATTTCAGTAGTGTATTCGTCAACAATAAAGCTTCTTCATACCCAAATACACTTGAAAGATACATCCAGTGTCAATTCACTTCACCAAATGCCTTTTACGATGTTTTCTTTTTCTACAGGCGCTATAAACCTGTATCTCAGGGGACAAATCTTGAATGAATTACCAAATTCGCTGATTTTGTTGACTTTCAATGTAGCTATGGTGACTCATATATCTTGGGCTAGTGACAATAAACGTGATCATTCCTCTCCATCTCCTCCGAGCTGCGTGAAATGCATATATATGTGTTCACTCACTTCTACTACCAGATATAGGAAATTTAATGCCGTCAATTTAACATTGCTTAATGCACCTGTCAAGGTGCCCGGTAAATACGGGGAATTTCACGGCAATGGTTTTGTTATTGATTTAGAAGAGCATTTTGAACGTTTGAATCTTAAGGCTGCACTAAACACCGGAATACCTTCTAAAAGTCGCCTTCCTGGTATTTTGAGAGACGCTTATGCCGCACTATTTGCATGGGCATATCTAAAGGCAACTTCTTATGACATTAAAAAATAATATCAAACGATTAGGCAAAAAAAAAAAAAAAAAAAAAAAGCCAAACAGGTCCCGTGATGGCCTGCCTTAGCTCTATACGGCATACACGATATATCCTCTAACAATATTACGTCAATTTCCTGCCATATCAGTATTTGAAAATTAATAGAATATAGATGTGCTAGAAATAAGACCTACTTCATTAAAATGCAGTTTATTCTCATCGATCAACGGCGCCAGTGAGCTAACCTAGATATAACCCATATGATGTTCACCCGAATGGCAATGATGGCATTTTATTTACTCTGATAGACTAATTAATATTAAGCTCGCACAAGATCGCGTTAATGAATCTACATTGATATTTTATAAATGCGAATTAATTGACAAACACAATGTACGGGTTGGCCTATCGAGTGACAAATGAAAAATTATTCGACAGTAAAATGTAAACAGAAAACCAAGCAAAACGTATACCAGTCAGACTGTATGCGAAATAGATGCTCTTCATATTTTCATAAACGTGTTAATAATGGTGTATCTTAGACAAACAGTGATAATTCGCCAGCACTGTTGTTTCTCCACGTTCACGGTGATTGATTCCGGTAACCATCCATGTTACTATGGATTTGGAGGGAACTCGATTTAGTGACAATTCATCTAACGGGTCTCAATGAAAACATGCTAAAGGTTACGAATAACAAGAAGGATATAGCAGTCGATCTGTAGTCGATACTCTACAGTTAATTTAAGGCTATATTCGATTTACTGTTAGCATAGGAAACGGAGAAAAATTGAACATGAAAACCAACCGCCAAAATTTCTAAATGTGAATGTATGCTTACACTGACGTATAAATGTGTAATCATTATTACGAATTTTTATTATATTTTCTTTCTTTAATATTTTTCTATCATACAAAAGTCTGCAACTATAAAATCCGAAAAAATGCAATTTCACATATCAATAAATGGGCATCCTTTGAAATAAAAAGTCTTCAAAAACTATAGAGTACAAATAAATATGTCTTAGTTTGCGTTTAAAAAGTGCCTGAATAATACTGTTCTCGCGCTAGTCAATTAACATCAATGAACAAATTTATTAGTACAATAATCATAATTTGAACCTAATGATGGATAATTGCTCCATATTTCTTTAGCCGTGTTATTCTTATCGAATTGTTTCTGTTTAGTACACCATTTGAACCAGTTACGCGAGATGGGGAATCATACATCCATACATCAGATATACTGTATGTCCTAGTATGATTATGTTGGGGATAAATCTACAGTTATTTAAAATAACACAAAATCCTACGCAGACTGTAGTATTTCATTGATAAGGCAAACTTACCATGTAGCCCTTATACCATTCCTTAATCTGCTTTTCTGTAAAACAAGTCTTTTCTAACAAATAATCCATATCTTCTCGTGGTAATTTGCACTTCTTTTTTGAATTGGAACTCTTCGCGTTTCCCATTTTGCGACAAGAGTCTGTCAGACCTCCTCTTAGCTGTGGATCCTTAGTCCATACGATGGTCCATAGAATTCTTTCTTGATGTTCTGCTTTGTCTCGAGGAGGTCTGTCTTAGCAAACGCCAACTTGGTAAAATGAAGAAAAATAACTTCGATTTAAGGCTACCACTCGAGATAATTGACTGCAGGGACATAAATCATTGGCCGTCTTCCTGTGTAAGGTTCACTTATGAAAATAATTTCCAGTATTGTTTTGAGTAACAATCTCCAGGTATAATGAGCGGCTTCCCGGGGCTGAATGTCTGCTGGCACAGACGATTCTCGGCACGGCACTCCCTGTCTGAGCCGCCGAGCTGGGAGACAGTAATAGATTTGGGTTAAAATGTACTCTGCATTGCTGTACTTCGTTCTCTCACAACAATCGAGCCGAAAGCGCCGGATCTCAGAATAAGTGGCAGACGATGCGGCCGCCAATATTTTTGGTGACACGCACAAATCTGACAACAAAAAGCGACTAATTCAGAAAAATGTCACAATGCACTCGATTTCTGCAAAAAGCTTTTAAATCCAACCTGTAATCCACATTTATCTATTAATGGATTTTATGCCAACTTCAGAGGAGTCCCGGGACAGTCGTTATTATCATATTATTTATAAAAAAACGCAAGAGCATTTGACTGAGTAAGTGCCTACAGCAATTCGTACTGAAACTCTACATTACCAGACGCCTGATGGTCATCGTTTATGATTAGTTTTCAAGTCAGAATGGTTCTCTTTCAGCTTGGGTCTAGATTGAACACGAAATGGCTAGCACAAACGGAAAGTGGTATTAATGTCATCACAGTAAGCACTAGCTTTGCTTTTTATGAGTGATCTTTTTATGGTAAAACTTGATATGGCTTGTCCTCTTCAGGAATAAAATCTATTAAGTGATGCCATTTCTGATACTTATGTCCTCGCACAATAAACTTGAAATGGACGTTTACAGTCTCAAAGATCTGTTAGAATGTGGTAGTACGATGAGGCTGATTGATAAGATCTGCCGTAGACAAACGCTCTCAGGACGCGATACTCCTTACGGTTCTAGATAGCTTACGATCCGCATGTCATCTTCGGATGCCGTGTGTTTCAGCGCAGTTCACAGCTTGCCCTAGCCAACTGGCCATTATATCGAATTGGAAAGCATCACAAGGGTCTGTCGTGCATTTGAAAGCATAAAAATAAACACCTACCAGGTACCCTTGGCACAGCCACGTCAATAATTAAACACAAATACAACTAACGTCAGAAGAGCATACAGCAAAATATCGACACCGGTTTGTTAAATATTTAAAAGTGATCAATACATTTTCCTCGATAATAGATACATTCGATCTTAAGTGCCCGAATAGAAAATAATTATCTAGAAACTGAAATTGCGCGTTTGCATGTTTCCCATTCTAATCAAGCAAATAAAAATGCAAGCAGTATTGTGGATTAAAAATGATGTGAAGTAAATCGTAGAAGTGCATTTGTTTTTGTTTAGGGTGTTATCTCTAAGACTTTGCATTGATCAAATACAATATTGAAATGTATTGATCTTTTATATCTGTTGTTGATCTTTTATATCTGTTGTTGTTGAACTATGATAAACATAAAAAGAAATTGATAAACGAATTTCTTAAGCTTGCGAAAAAAAAAACGTCCGTAAGCCAAATCATTGAATACAACCTTTATTGTCATTTGCACGAGATGGATTCTAAAAAGTAATTTCACGTCGTGAATATGACATTTTGTGAACAGGAAAAGAAGCACCTGTCGTTATCATAGAGGCTTGATAAATATCCAAGACTCAGCTTCATAAGATAGTTCTTGGTGATCATATTTGCAGATCCTCCATCACCTTTATGTTTTCTTGCTATTCCCGCCTTACTTAGAAATGTATTTGTACACGTGCCTCGCTACTTTTCCGCCTTTTGGATTTTACAAACCAAGATTAAAAAAAAAAAAGGAAGGAAGAAAGAAAGATGGTTATCGTTGGGAGGCCTTGAAATGGAGTTAATGCGTGCTCTGCCCACACTGTAAGGTCGAACTGGACAGAATTTTACTGTATAGATTATAGATTGATATAGTTGGACAAAAGAGCGTGCTCGCAGGCGCTTCTGCTCGCACCCCTATGTATCAAGCAGAACAGACATATAAATATTTTTGAATAAACATAGACAATAAATGCCTTTAAAATGTCAAAATGAACAAAACTCTGCTTCAACATTTCGATAAATTTTGTGAATAATGTGTAATTTTGTTCTTATCTCTTTATGCCTCCCTCATTTTCACAACATGTTACATGGAAGCGGGGGACATTGATTTGAGGCCCTTTTACACTGGACGGCGTCCTTTCTGCGTCCTTTGTGTGACCATGAAACTAGCATCGCTGAGGTCGTAGAAATGAGGTAAAAGCATCGCTTTGGTTGCAGAGAGAATGCTTAATGATCGGCCAGTTGTCGGCACGTAAAGTATTATTTTTTTCACTCTCAAACAGGGTCGTACTACGGGACGCAGAAAGGACGTCGTCCAGTGTAAAGGGGGCTCATTGCAACGCAGCTCATGCCGGGGAAATATGCTAAGCTCTCCATCTTTGAATTATAATACACAATACACTGCTTCACATATACCCCACCATACTTAGATATACAGACAATTAATTCCAAGACAATGTTTTTGTTTACCATTGGAAAAAAATTACCGTAGGTTCAAATATCCCACCGCATAGTGGTACGAGAAGTGATTTTGATGCAATGTGCAATTAATAATGCACAACAGAATCCTCAGTAACATTTCTGTCGGACAAGTTATTCAATGCATTCATTAGCAAAGACAAGGCACAACGTGGCACTTGGCGTACAAACGCATCATGTTACCTCACACCGTTATCCTCATTGATTTACAATACCAATAGTGCGGCAATTAGTTGGTTATGCCACAGATTATAGAATATTGTAAAATGGGTGTCCTCAGGCTGGATTAAGAAGGTAATGCGCAATGACACTGGAGTCCACAACAGCCACATTTAATGTCGATATATCAACAGGAAAATATTTGCTCGATCGAACAGCGTAACAATTATTTAAATATTCATATTTCTGTAAGACACACATACCATCATCAGGGTTAGGCAATAAAACGTTTAAATCCGATTCCCATATTCTGTGTTGCCCTCAGATCTCGATTATGACTCCCTTTGCTCTACTCCTGAAAATTTAACTATTTACTATTTTCCTTGATTCAGACTTCTTTGATCCTCGTACAATGGTTTTGAAAATGCATCCCAGTAGAAAAGCGAAACATATTTATGAAAAGATAACTTGGATGATATAAATAATGACAGGCCCCTAATTTTCAGGAGAGTCAAGGCTCCAAAATTCTGGTGATGGTTTTCCTTTTCGTCAGTAGGCCCAGTTACATCATCATTGTTTAAACTAATATGCCGCAAGAGGACAGGTTGGTCTTCAGCCAGGATTTTTTTTTTTTTTTAGCCGGTGAATCTATTGTCTGAAATTCCGCTCTAGCAAAAAGACATAGAGAGTTCTTGCCACTGTGATATTCAACACGCACCCAATCCTGCTTCAACAAGTCAACACAATCAAAATCTCAACTACTGCAACAATAAACTTTCAGCAAGCTGTTGAAACCCAAGCTCTCGTCACGGCTGAGGATGTATTATCTGCAGGGAGTGGGTTCCATTATGCAACGAAATCTGACTCTGATTAATAATCTCCATATTTATGCGAGAGATCATAAAACTTGAGACAGGCAAACAAATTGAACTAATCAAGATGTTTCCCATGAGTTCCTTGTGGGCAACCTACATGTATCAATCATAATCCTATTGACATACAAACCCCTAAAAAGGCCTAATGTGTAAAATAATTATGTGCCTTGTGTCAGGGTTATAGGTACTGCTATATACATTAAACTTAAAATAAAACATTATTTATAGTGAACATACAATGCGGCAGACTTTTGTTTCATTAGTGCGTGGCATTTCACAAGAAAAAAGAAGACTTACACTTAACACACTCATTTTTAGGTTTCTTCATACTTTTTACGTAAATACGTTAACGTTCTTGCTCAAAATGACCCCCACCAATGCGTTTTTTTTCTTCGGGTGAGTGTTCAGCCCCGAGGAAAATGCCTGTACGTGTGATTAACCTGTAACTAAACACAAAATGAGTCTGTAGAAAAAAAAAACCGACACACCTGGCTTCCATGGTTTTCAAACGGACCTTATCAGACATGTAACCGACATCCTTGCTCTTTAAATTGTATTATAGTCACATCACCTTTTGTTTATATTTCTCTAATTTCCGGAATCAACATACATCCTTGATAAGAATGGTGTATTTTTCTTAATATATATAAATTGTTAATTTCACTTCATTTTATTTCGTATGCATCCACCTGGGTGGATGAAAATGACAATATAAATATAATTTTAGTGAATATGCTATTAAACAATTACAATGAGTAAGATTATTTACTAATAATAGATAAATAAATAAATTCATTAATTAATTAACTCTAGTTTCTATTACTACTGCTCAATTGCCGATGGGTGTAGCACTGTCTTCTTGATCCCTCTTAGCAAAAGAGGAGAGAAACTGAGCTAGTGCGATGAGGGTTTCTTCTTCTTGAGATTTAATAATGATAGTAAACCTTTCATCGGTTGTTTTGAGGCCAAAGTGGGTATAGTGTTTTGTAAATACCTTATATAAAATTGTTCGCATGTCGTTACATGGTATATTGATAAAATGAACTGTTCGTTCTCCACACTGACACGAAACTCTGTGTGCAGCATCTACCCTCTACCAGGGCCGCAGTTATTATTGTGGACATTTTTTGCTGACTGAGAGCCAAAATGACTGTCTATTTATCTATAGACATATCTGTGAATATCAATCTGTGGAAAATCAATCTGTCGCCCTGGTAGAGGGTAAATGCAGCATCTGCGTTAGGGAGGTTAATCACTGTCAAATTATTACAACAGTTAAGTGATTTTGGAACTTAAGTCGCAAATTACGCTGATGAGTAAAGAATATTACGAGAATCATTTTTTCCTGCCCCTTTTTTAAATGACAGAGCCACATTTTGAAAATATCTTACGTTGAAAACTTACTGTTGGTTTAGTCCGTGTGGATTTAGAAATGAAAATTTTTGTTTATTTATTTTTGTCTAATCGTTTTAATCTTATATAGTTACAGAATGTTACCCATTTTTGTAAATTATTTTGGAATAAGTATGCTGTCTCCTTTAGAATATATACTTCTCTCATTGGCAAACATTAATAGGTCTTGCCTTTGCACGTTAGATGAAAACTGAGTCTTCGTTACTGTGCAGTCCAACTTTCCATCGACATTTATTCTGTTGCAGGAGAAACTTAGACTGGTTGTAAATACGTACGATAGTCAAAGTTGCAATAAACAGTTATTTCCTTCGATTTTCATGGGTTAGCTTCAACCGATGAATCTAAGAGAAGGAAAGAACAGTATACAATCGTTAAAAGGTTGAATAATGATAATGGCATGGCATCTCTCCTTTCATTATCCTCCTTACAAGAATCCTTCTCACGATACCACTACCCTTCTAGNAAACTTAGACTGGTTGTAAATACGTACGATAGTCAAAGTTGCAATAAACAGTTATTTCCTTCGATTTTCATGGGTTAGCTTCAACCGATGAATCTAAGAGAAGGAAAGAACAATAAACAGGCGTTAAAAGGTTGAATAATGATAATGGCATGGCATCTCTCCTTTCATTATCCTCCTTACAAGAATCCCTCTCACGATGCCACTACCCTTCTACCCTATAATCTCCCTTACTGCCCCCCCCCACTCTTACTACCCCCACCCCACCCTCATCTCCTGACCCTTGCCCTACGTCCTCATCTACGTGATCCAAACAATCGCTGGTGATGCCAACTTGAAATAATAAATAACCCTGTGTTTTTGTACAAGGTATATATACTTGATATGAAAGTTGCTATTACCCCGGTAATTTGGTCAACACACGTGACTTCCCCACCCTGTCTTCAGTTATGGTTTCCATGTCTTCTTTATTGTTGAACAAGATATTATCATTAGCATCGTTTGGAACTGTTAGACAGAAATGTTTATTTTATGATGGCTTTTTAAAGGATTAATAAGTTTTAATCGCCCTACATATATAGGTCCAAGTGTTTCTCTGCTACATTCCTTTCGTACGCTTGCCGCGTTTTATCAGCATAAATAGCGGGGTTTTAATGTATGTTTGATGAATTTACATTAAATGCCTCCTTAATTGCCAGATTGACGCAATTTGTCATATTACCATGCAACTGATCATTGTACAATAATGGTACATAGGCCTATAAAGGCCATTATATTCTTCATAAAATATTAAGATTTTGAAGAAACTAGGCTGTTTGTTCATACCCCAACCTATAAAGTTAACTTCAATTTAGGGGGTATGGGGTACGTACGTTATGTAAAAATGACCTAGCTTATGATTATTCCATAATTATAAAAACAAAGACGAAACGTATTTTCTCAAAAGAAGTATATTTGGATAGGGATAGCAAAGGGCATGATGATGACAACTGTAATGTCATTATGACCAAAAAAAAAAAGATAATTGTTTCTGAAAGAATGGCGCATGCATGACGTTCTATTGAGGAATCTACTAACTTGTGACTATGACGAAATTTGCCATACATGTAGTTAGTCATAACTAAATTGTATGAAAAGAAAAATCATTTTCCGCTTTGACAAAGCCCATTTGGCTCATCAGGTGTGCTGTGTCGTGAATGGGCATTCATGATGTGAACGTCCGAAGACTAAAGTTACAAAGTGAAACGGATGTACGTTCTATACTTCCTTACACCCATTGTCAACTTCAAAAATTGTTTGTAGGCATTGGGACCTGGTCGAATTTCAGTTTCGGTTGTCTAGCGTGATCTGGATTTAAAAAAATTCTACAGCTAGTGAAGTTTTTGGCGTCTCATGTTAATATTTAATTATACACATTAAATTTGCTTCATTGCTCAATGCTGTACAAGCAACTCGCCTCTGAAAGCTGGGTCTGTGGAACCGTTCTCCCGTTGAAATGTTAATACGTCACATGACCAGTCACATGATTTTCTTTAAACGTATATTGTAGGTCAACATTTCGAGGTGTTTCCCACTCACCGCAGAGAGAGTCATGCATCGCCGCCGGAGCCGGAACAGAGGTACTTTTTGAACTGTCATGCTCTTCATTGCGTTATAAATGTTATCACAGCTAAGATAAGACGTACATTTTGGAAAAGAGGTTGTTGTCAGCTGTTACATTGCCAAAATGGCTGAAAAGTTGCTCGGACAAACTGAAATGGACAACAGTGAAAAGGAACGTCTTATTGAAGAGCATGCACAGCGGATCATCAAAGAGTACATTTCAACCCACAAACAAGACATAGAAACGGACATCTTCTACAAGAAAAGAGCAGACAGATTGAGGGGTAAGTTCTTGATAACATCTATTTAGTAGAACGGACGTTACGTTGTCAATACTCATACATACATGTATACTGTACTCACTAATTTATACAGTTCAGTGAAGGGCAGTCTATCTATACAGGTAAACTTCGGCCAGACAAAAGTAGACATATCACCTTTACATGCTCTCAATCAGTTTTCAAACAGCCCGTGTAAAGAATATAAAGAAAATGGTATAAGATTTTCCACCATTTACATTCACTGTATATACTACCAGTAGTTATATACTGTATACTAATACATATGTATGTACTCTGTATTTGTATTCTTTGATCACATATTGACAAATTTACAAGCTGAATAATATAATAGTGAAAAAAAGTGGAAGAGGGAAAGGTTCAGATTTTAAATTTTGAAACTATAGAAGATACTTGCTTGTATACTAGTGGGATTAAATTTTAAGTGAAATAGTTACTCGTAGTATACTCACACTTGTGAGGGATGTACAATATTGACATTACTGAGATACTGAACAAATCAAAAATAGAAAATGTCTCCTCTTTTGCTTTATGTTCCAACTTTTCTTTGTCTTTGTCCCCTTTTTAATACTTCATGTATGTGGAAACTGCGGTAGCGCTAGCAATTTTTTTCACTTAGCCAAATCATCACTTTTTTGTCAATTTCTTATGAAAATAGCTTTAATTTGACTAAAATTTGCCAAATCAAGTCCTTTTTGTTTAGCCAAATTAAGTCAGTTTTAGCATTTGGCTAAATTGGCGAGTGCTAGCGCTATCTCAGGGAAAAAAATAAAACTTTGCAAGAACAAAACTTAATCCCAACCATCCAACCAATGAAAACTGAATGTATATGTACTTGTCATCAAAATTACATTGTATTATGTAACTAGTATGATTATTATCCTCTTTTTATATTAATAATGCACAAATCTATTTGGTTGTTAAGAATACTAGTGACCTAAACTATATATCCTAGTAACCTACAAAAATATACTGGACTTTTAGTAACCTCCTAACATTTAACAAGGGCACAAATTAATGCCTACACGTGTAGCCTGATTTATAGCTGTCTACTCCAATAAATGTTGTCTGGTTCTTCATCTCGTAAATTTTTTAAAAAATCTTATATTTTAAATAATACCTCTTTAACAAAATTGCCTTGTTGCAGACTTTTACCTTGATGAAACTGTGGAGGAGGAAGAAGGTATACAATTTGCTCCTATAGAGACCTTAGTTTTGTGTTATGCACAGTATAATTATTCCACTTGTCCAATTTGTTTCCAGTGTTGTGTGTTGCTTTTGTTTTACACCTGTAGACCTAGTTGCAACTGACTCATAAGCGTGAACTTAGTTGTTTGTCCTTCGCAGTTTTTATTTGGAGTAACATTTTTCCCTTGGGCCATAGCAGCACTTTTCAATAATAAACATTGATCCATCCTGGAATTTTTTTTCTTTTATGTGAACATTTTTAGCTGTCTTTGTAATTTTTTGTTTGTGAACCTTGCTGTTTAATCAAGAATGTATGTAAATCAAATTCGGGAACCTGTGTGGTAAAAATCAATGATTAATCACCTAATTGCTAGAATTTGATCTATATATACTTATGCTTGATTCCAGTTTTACTGGATGACTAAGAACATTGCCTCACTTGTTGCTAAATGTTTACAGGTGTAAATATCTGCCTGGTACTTTGTATGTTAATCTGTAAGTCTCTATAGTCTCTTAGTTTATTAAAAAATAACAAAGCACTCTTTTTCTAATCATTTTATTTTCAGTCTTTATCAACTATCACAGTATATGTTTTATGGCGATGTTCTTTGATGTATTTTGAAGTGACAGTTTGTTTCATTCATGTACAATTTTAGATGTTCCAGAATTTTGATGTTGATGTTGTAGGTATTTTATTTTTATGTAAATGGCCATATGTATTAGGTGGGGGATTATGTTATAGAATATGTACATTACAAGTGAATTGTACCGTATGGGAACACCTCCACAGCAAAACCATACATTGCTCATGTATCAGTATTTAAATTACATAACTGAAACTATAAAATGTGGAACACGTTATTGAAGTTATTATAAGTGGAAGTTCAAATGCAGTTTAGCATAACTAGCTTCATGATCTTTAAACTTAAATCATGATATTTTAGTAATTGAGACATGCCTTTCACATAGGGCCTCTGACCAAATTGTGGTCCTTATGAAAATAATTTCTAATGCCTTGGGGAAAAGAATTTCTTACTGATTTCAAATGTCCATTTATGTTCTTGTTTTGGTGACCAAGGTGGTTAACTTGGCCGTATATATGTCTGGACCCTGTTGTTTAATCTGGCTGGAAGTCTTCGGCACACTAGCTTTTCATTGTTGTTTGTTTGTTTTTGCTAGCTGTGTGTCAAATTCCAGCCAGGAGAAGCCAAGTTAAACATTGTTTTTACTTCACCCGTGGCTGATTTTATATCAAAAGACCCAAGCAGTTGCAGCTCTGCTGCCCAGACCCCAATAATCAAATAGAACTTCACTAAAGCTGTCTTGCAAACAAAAATGAACTACCAAGCTAACTGAACACAATGCTTACCCTGCCTGGGATGGGGCAACCAGTCCTTCAGCTGTTTTTCTTTTTGGGAATGTTTTTACAAGTTTTTATAGCACCTTACGAAACATTTGACCTGTTTTGTACCACTATCATGCCATGCTATATGCTTCTTTTTTTTCTTTACATAGGTGATATACTCAACTACCTTTTTAGTTCTATACTGTAGTTGAGTATACTTTCCAACCAAGCCACAATGATTGATAATGTCTCATGGATATGTTTTTATGTTCACCTTGAGAGTAACCATGATTTTCTGGCAAGTTTGCATTAAAAAGATTATGAAGTAGTTTGGATTTGGTGCTTGAGATCCAGAACCTATGGACCATGTCATGTAGAATTTAGTGAATGTATATATCCAGGCTCACAGCCAGGGGGGGAGGGTTCGGGGGGGGGGGGGTTTGAAAGAACCACCTCTTTTGCGGGGAAAAGGTCCACTCTGCATAAAAGTTGATCTAGTGACATGAGGATTTTATGGTAAAAGATCCACTTTTTCAGAAAAGACGCCCCCTTTCTTAAATTGCTGGCTACGTGCCTGATATTGTTCATCAACTGGCAGATTTGTTGTTCTACTGGACAAAACTTTGTTGATGGTAGATACATAATTTTTTATTTAGGGGCAGTTTATAAAAGGCATAATGCAGCAATTATATCCATTGTATTTTATAGACTATTCAGTGTTCCAATGAATACATGTGTATATTGAAGCAGACAGTCCCCTGCTGCTAGCTACAGCATACAGCCAACGTTACACCTGACATTTATTTTTAATGTTATTCCTGCTGGTGATGAATACTACACTCTGTAACAGAGACTAGCTGGGTGATGATCAAGGTTTTGTACTCTTATTATCATTTGTTTGTAAAATTTTGGGCTGGACAGTACAGAAAAATGCAGAAAACAGTTGTCTCTGTGACCCTGGTAGAGTATGGAAAGAAGTATATATATGCATGAAATTAAGATGTATATTTTACCCAAAAATGAGGAAGAATGACTGGCTTGCTATCATCCTATCCTGTAGTACGTTTGTGGTCAACAAATTGTACATGTAACAGTATTAATTAAACAGTACATTGAAGTATAGCAATTTGATATTCAGGCAATATATCCAACAACATCATGTCAGTGGGTGCATATTGCCCCTCTCTTTTATAAGGAAATGATTCTTTTGCTCTGAATAATGTTAAAATGATGAGACAGTTTTCTTGATACAAAAAAAGGAACATTTTTCAAAATGGATGTCATCGATTTAAGAGATCTATTAAAGACTTTTTGTGGTTTCACTAGCACTCAAGTAGAACTTAATTTTTAATTGGCAAATTTCTCCCAAGTTACATATTGTTGAACTTTGTCTTAAATGAGTCACGAAATTAAAATTTATTGCTGTGACTAGAACTTGAAAACAGTTCTCACATCTTTCAAATGTTTTTTCTAAGCAAAGTATTTTATTAGGAACACTTGGGTATAATAAATTTTAAAAAGAACATAAAGATTTGTTTGCAATTGAGTCTAGGGGTTTTGTGTGGAGGAGAGACGAAGAAAAAAAAACACCCTCCTTGCTCTCACGTTGTTTTAAGTTGTTAGGTATTTGGGTTAAACCACGAGCATGTTAAATTCTGATACTGGAAGGTTATAAAACACACCAGTGACTTCGTAACGAAGTTACCTCGTGTCAGACTTCTTCTAGATAAAATGTATGCACCCCTATGAAAAATAAACCACCTTCGTATTTGCAGTTTGACACAATTATTGTTTGAGGTTATCCAGGTATGTAATATAGGCAAAGTTTTGGTACAGGTAACTTGGAGAACAGGTTCTGATCTAATCGGTAAACCTATTATTTGAATAAACTGGTGCTGTGTACATTGTGGAAGGGTTTCTCCAGTTCAGGGTCAGTTTGGGTCTACATCGGTTATCATGAAGCGAACAAGATATTCTTTACAGCGAAAATTTATGTACTAAGTTCTCTACTAGATAAAGCATTTTGATTTCAAAATAAAACATGCAAGTATTATATCTTTCTTCAAATTACTTGCCATTAACAGTTTGCTGCACATAAAAATTTTAAAACAAACGTTGATATCCAAGTTCCCAAAAGTTTTTGTAGAAGGGTTTTGGATTTACATCTCAGTCTGTAGTTTTTTCAACATCATGAAAACTGTTTTAAGTTTGGCAGTGAAAGATTAAGTAGTAGATAAGTTCTTAAAAGACAAAAGAAAAACATATTTGTATTTTGGATTAACTCCCTAACATCTGATGTTTGACTTAATTTGACTTAATGCCCTATAGGTAGTGTTCTATTAAATTTGATGAACAACATAAAAAGCTTTTTCCTCTTTGTCATTATCAGTGAATATTTTCATTCCCCTTGGTTTTCATTTACAGAAATATAGATTAGATATGTATCACATTGTAGGTGATTATTTGAACTTACATTTATTTATTGGAACTTCTTGAGTAATGACATAATTGGAATTTAAGAAGGTTTTTTTCATCATTACATGATCTTGCGTAGAACACACACCTTTCTGATTTAAGAGTCCATAGATGTATTTTTCATGTCAGTGATTCATACTGCACACACCTATGTGGTTTTGGCATTACATCACACGTGGAAATGTAGTAAAATTGGGTTAAATGGCTACAATTAATGCCATCATGTTTTCTTATAAAGAATATAAATCTGCCAGGATGAAAAAACAACATTATAGAATAAATTCTTTGAAAACACTTCATTTGAAAAAGGTTGAGGTAAAATAATCCTGAACCCATTTAATTTTGCTGAAGAATATTCTTCAGTACTGGCTGAGTCACTGTCTTACCTCAGCCAGACGTTTCTTGAAGTTCATAGTGTTAAACATATCAGTGTTTGCTATGTACAAACATTAGGTGCTACAGTACAGTATTTCTCTCTTTTCATGGCATGTAATTGGTTTTTTGCTCTGTCTTGAATTTAAGTTTAAAAAGTCAGTGTTAATCTGTTGATTCATTTTAAGAACTGAGATTAATTGGGCAGTTATTTCTTTGTGTTTTTACAGATCATTTTAAGTGATGTCTATTTTCAGATAGAACAAATTAAGTAAAAAATTCAGAAGCATTCCCTATCACATGGGTACTAGTATATGATAGTTTGCCCTGATATTCCTATATTTTCTGAAACACTCAGTGTGTAATACGGTAGATATTGGACGTAAGTATTGCAAGGCCTGTTTCAAGTGTGTACTAGTTATTTATAACATATTGGATTTCTTTCCAGTTCACAAAAAAGTAAAGATTATAAAGTCTAAGCTAAAACAGCTGGGTCTGTAGGCTACAACATTTTTGTTTTAAGACTAGCATATATGGCCACTTACCATACTTTGGTTTTAAAACTAAATGTTAAGACTAAATTTCAATCATCTTAGTGACATTTAGTGAGTTGTTCATATGAGATGGCTTAATAGTTTGTGGAAAGGAGAACAGGACTACTGTTACTTAGAGGGTCCCATTTGGGAGGTAGTGATCACACTTCATGGGAAACAAAATCAATTCACAAATCACTTCAAAAAACTTTAATTATATCTCATCTAAAATGATCCAAAATGAGTTGAAAATCACGGATCACCAGGTATAATGACTTTGTTTCACGAAGGACTAAGAATAAAAAGTCACATTTATGAGTCAAGGGAATGGGGTGCTTGACAGAGCACATTAAATAATTTGAGCAATTTCATGCATCCTTTAAAATAAAAGTGGCTTTCACAGGTAACAAAAATACCCAGTAGGACCCTATTGCTTAACTTGCTTTATGTAACTGACTATCTGAGTTTAACAGACTTAACTTAGCCCTAACTTCGATTGATTAATTATTATTATTATTATTATTATTATTATTATTATTATTATTATTATTTCGGATCAAGAACATCAGAGTCAGCTGATGGCAGTGTGTGGTAAAGGTAGAAATTTCTATTCTGTGGGTTAGCATTACAGTGCTTTAAACTTGGTCCTTTTTTTTTTTGGAAGGTAGTACATAGATAAACATGATTAGCTATAAAAAATAAAGTCTTTATGTTATACAAAGCTGTTTTTCCTGCAAATCTGCCATTCTGGTGGTGTCTCCTATGTTCTTGAAAACTGAACAAGAATATAAAGGTCTCTTCAGGCTCATAAGATAACCCATAATGGCAGTATTAACAGCTATTGAATGTTGCAGAAAAAAAAGGGATATTTGAGAAGGCTGTTTTATGGTGTTCCCGATTGAATTCCCCAATTCTGATTGAATTCTAGTTGCGATACTGTTTGAATAAAGTAAAAGGGCATGGTGCTGCTATGAATCAAGTGTCCTCAAGTTATCTGTATAAGCAATTCACTGAGTGGACTGGGAGGTATCACAGGCTTAGAGGGAAATCTGGATAAGAGGGTTCCAGCTGGCATTGGAAGGAAGGAAAGCCAGAGGAGGAATGAAAGATCCAATTATGAACTTTTTCCCTTGCTCTGTTCAGAATAACCAGTGCATGGATAGTATCATGCCAATTAATATCTTAATTAAGAAACATTTTTATTAAAGTGTTATTATTTTAGACAAATGCAGAAGAAAGTTTTTAATTAGTTATTTCTGTCCAAAAAATAAAGTATTTAGTCTGTCACGAATAATTATTTACCAAGGATGAATTAAAATATTTACCAAGGATGAATTAAAATGATCAGGCTCAAGGCTTTTCAGACATATAAGTATTATTCTAGACTAGTACATTATATGAGATCTAGTAGACTGTATTGTCACCAGAATAAGTAAAACATATCTAACATTGTTTTGTGTGTAGTAAATTGTGTTTAGCACCATCCCACTGCTTTTGGTGGATTTTTTTTAATTTGAGTACCAAACCCATGTCCACGAACATGTAAGAGAAGCTGCCCTTAAATATATATGAGCCTTACCAAGGCCCTAACCAATATGATTTAATGATTCCTCCATCAGGAGGACTGTTGTTAACATTATCCACAGGAGTATTGATCTGTTTGAAGCGAACCAATAGAAGGCTATTTACTGATGGCAGATACTGTAATAGCTTATTGGTTTCGAGAATGAGCATCCTCAGTCTCTGCTTCAGATAGAAGTTTGTATTTTTAAAGGTACCATCCAAAGTTTTGATGATTTTGAGAATTTTGTTGGGCTTTGTGTGAAGCAATTACTTGAAAAAAAAATTAAGAATTTGTAATAGTGCTAATAGCAATATTGCTAAATAGCCTGTGATTACTGTAAAGTAGGACATGTTGAAGGAGGAATATATGGAAATGCATACAGAAATCCACTTGTTATGTTGTCTAGACAGCTATTACCAGAAACCTTGGTTGAATTTTAGTCAGTAAGAAAAACACTTCCTATGATTCACTTTCAGGTGCAGCAACTTGCAAAATATTTCTTCACTTAAGTCAGGTAGCTGTTGTTTAAGATCATAACAAACAAAAATACCCTCACACTTAAGTACTCATCTGTTTGTTTATCATTATTCATGCTAAATATAGTACTCTCCCTTATGATTCAGGATGAAACACAACACCAGGTGAATGGACAACTGCAGTGCTCTAATCTTTTAAGCAATTTGTTTCTCAGAATATATTTTTTTGTTTTTTTAAGAACACCAAAGGATTGAAAACAGTGTTAGAAATAGGCACATAGCCCAAGAAGCTAGGAAGTTTTGGGGTAAACCAGCAAAATGTGAACTTAACTTGCTCTAAGTTACTTGTAAAATGTATGAAATGTTTGCTCTGGAATTGCCGGTTTATGAAGGTCACTAAGACTTGAATTATAAGTTAATATAAGGTACATGTTTTCTTCACAACAGGGTCAAGTATACTATTTTTATGTTTGTTAGGATTCATTGAATCATTTACCATTATTAGTACTTGTTGCTATTTAAGTCTTAAGAATAAGGGCCTGAAGGATGAGTCTTGAAACTGAGATCTACTGGTCCTGAAGGTCATTCAATCTAAATAAAGAATTTGAATTCTCTTTCAAGTCTTTGCATCATTGGAACCATGCACATGACCTCTCCTTCTCCTCATTGAATTTTCCACAATATTTTTACCTGCATTTATATCTGTACAGATCTTGTGCAGACTGTTGCCCTTTTTATCCTGAAACAGTAAATACAGCTAATGCATGCAAACCTACAGATTCACATATTACCAATTGTCACATGAGCTATAAAAGTTTTTGTCTTTTCCAAATATTAAATATGAACGCAATTAATTGAGTGTTTGTTTTTTTAAAAATATTTTGCTGCTTTGTCATTCTAGGCCTTGGTCCCAAAGCTCACAGTACCAGCTGCCTGCTGCCAGGACCCCAGGGATTCCAGCCATTACTGTACACCAGCACTCCTGTCTACAAAGACAAAAAGGTTTGTTTGAAAAAGGAGAAAAAGTTGTAATAAAAAGAAAGTATACCTTAATTATTCATTTGACAACCATTCCTTTCATCATTCAATTCTGCAGAAAATGCAAATTAACGTGATGGAGTTCTTCAAGGACAACATCATGTATGTTTTTAATAAAAATGATGCTAAGGAGGTCAAATGTTAGTGAGGAGGAAAGCTGCGCAAGACACAAATCCATAATCATTAGATATGATTTATCATACAGGAATACATATTGTACTCGTATACCTAGGCACATTGAAATGCATCTTATACTCCTATCTCCCTGCCATGAATACTGTTGGCAACACCCCTTTTATTGAGCTCATTCATCCAGCTTTATGCTGTTTTATTATCAACCACCTACTCATATGGTTTGCCATTCAACAACTTTGTGTGATGGCATTGCCACGGTTCCATTTACTCTCGTTTATATTCATAGGCACGTGCATGCTGTTTACGTACAATGTTCTGCTTTTCTCAAGGTGTCAGTTCAGATGTTCATAGATACAGAGAGCTCTGCTGGGGAAATAAAACTGGCTTGCAATCATCTGTGAAGTGCTTATTGCCCTTAAGAGAATATGCCAACGAGTTCATAATGTTATGCAGGAAAAATGCCTAGTGAAGGCATGGACATTGGCACTACACTATAGTGCTTATTACAGAAATTGTTATTCAGAATGCAATAGTACGCCATTTGAGTTAATATTTTAGGATATACACATTAGGGCCTTAATTTGTAGGCCTACAAAATAGATTGGTACAGAATGCTGAACTACTAAGTCAAAAATACTATGCATGTATTTTGAGGGCAGCAATGTGTTATTTGAGTTAATTGGGTATTGGCCTTTACTGCACATGATTACAGAAACAGTTACGGATACCAACAGTGATGTCTGTGAAATAATACAAGTGAAGAGCTCTTTTACTTGAGATCTTTAGACATGATGTCCATGTTATGCATATATGTATTAAGCAAGTAAACCCCGGCAGTAATTCAAAAACTCTTGCTTTACCTGTCCATATCTTGATATGGATCCCTCTCTTAGATGTATGTGGGAGGCCTCAGAGTACTCAGTAACCAGGCATTAACAGGCTGAAGTTAGTTGGCAGTCAGCAAGTGTAGAAAAGGACTCTCTAGAAAGTGGGGATGTAATTTTTATGAATTATTTTTAACATACAACTGTTTTAAGATACCCTAAAAGTGTATCTCATTTTACCATATTTCCCATTTGAAACACGTACATAACATTTCAAACTTTTAGATAACACATGGTTATAACCCAGTGGTGGTGGGGGAGGGTGTGCCAGCTGCTTCTCCCTTAACTTGGTACTAAAATGACCTGTATTGAAACGGATGTGAACATAGAACTGTAAAAACCTGTTCTGTAACAGATCGTTATCCATTCTTTTCAATCTTTGAAAACAGATCCATTTTATAATAAAAAGAGCACTCTTGACAGGTAAAATGCAGTAAAAAGTAGTAATTGCCAATATGAATAGCATAGAGGTAATTTTGTCTGATTTGGAAACAAACACGAGTGCGTCTTGAAGGTGTGCTAATGCGATGGAGGAACTTGGCCAACTTGGCAATAACCATGGAAAAGTTGGGCAACCAACCTTAAAATACTAGTAATTGATACCCTTGATGTGGTTTAATTGCACAAAAGATAGGTGTATTTTAATGCTTTCAAATGTTATAGCACCTTGGATATTTTGAAATAGCATGACGTATGTGGTCATGGTGCTCTCTATGACATCCAAGGTTGTATTTTAATTGTTTACCATTAAATCTTGTGGCCATGCACTATTTTTGGCACTCAGGACAGTTTTTATTTTCATACATGTGGCATATCAAATTCTATGCCAGCAGGAATATAATTTTATCACCTTCAAACATGTCTTGGCAAATGTAGGCAGATCTATGCAGTTTCAGAGAATACTCTATGTGCAGAAAATACGTAAGTTAAAGATGATGGAGATAATAATCTGACTTAAATGTTGTCTTTTTTTATAAATGGAGAATATCAGAATAAAAATAGCTATTCATTTTGGAGTTGCCATAGACATATTTATTTCTTTCATATTTCTCTCACTTTCAATTTCTGTTTTGCTTGTCTTTAATTTTAAGGAAGAGGTGACTGAGATTATATGCATTTTTGACACGTAAGAATTCTAGCACTGTCAGAATTAATATATCACACTAATACATACATTGGTCATAAATTACCTTTACCTTTTATGTTTAAGAATTAATTGCCTTTGTTCAATTTACAGTTTGTTCTGGCTTCGTTACCTATAGTATTACTACATGTATGTGCATAACCCCATCTATAAACATCAACTGAATGAATGAAAAAAAAAAAAAAAAAAATATATATATATATATATATATATATATATATATATATATATATATATATATATATATATATATAATCAGTGTACTAGTGTGTGATGGTAAATTTATAATTGCCCCTTTAAAAGAGAATCATTTAAACTAGATATAATGTAGTATGAGGTTTCAAGGTAACCTTTTTCAGTAACATGTATACCCACCTAATATCCTGTATTTATGGAAAGTAATATAACCTTTGTATAAATTTACTGAATAAATCATGACTTTATTCCTCTGTTTTGAAAATTTATGATAATGAAGCTTAAAAACATCAATTTTCCCTTGTCAGTGCCAGGTGTCTTAGATATATTAAAACCGGTCCCTCTGCTTAGGTTTAACATTATCCGGTAATAGTTAGAGAAAGCCCAAATTGCTCTTGGCACACTCCTCGGGTTAACATCATTTGGACTTAAAGTATAAAAGAGAAAAGGCTTCATCTGTAAGGGGGAACAGGACAGCCAGGGTTAAGTAATGAGCTGCCAAAACCCTTGTTCTTGACACATTTCTATGCCTGGAGGTGATACTATGAAGAGAATGCATGTCCCTCATGTCCCTCACCCAGACATGCTATATTGGGACAACATGAAAACTTAGGACCCATTCCTAGCGACACATTGGTCTATGTGGATCAACACAACTCTTTTGGTATTCTCGTTGAGTGCAATCTGATGATTATATATGAGTACATTGGAAACAAAAGGAGACGAGTCATTAAGTTAAGCTGATTGCACTTAGCGAAGTTCCTGCAGAGTTGGGTCAATCTACGTAGATCGTTTGTGTGTCTATGAGAAAAGAGTCTTACTTTCCTTATAATGCTTCTGGATTCAAGTGGATTCAGTGGAAGTTTAATTTTATATAAATGTGAAGTATATGGCAGCACTAGCAGTGGTTCATCAATTACAACACATTTGCAATCATACGTCTTATCTAGACCATGATGTATGGAATTGTCTGACTTAGGCCCTCAGGTGTTCATTGTGATTTGTGGTTTTGGCTGCATTTCAATTAGCTTCAGATAACATGTGTAGCTAAAGGTTAAACAAATGAATGACTTACTTTATATTATAAACCAGGTGAAAAGTTTTTAGTACTGATAAGAAAGAGAAATGACATCTTTAAGTGGTAGATATCGTTAATAAATGCAGAACATGTCTGTCTCTCTGTTTTTTTTTTTTTTTTTCATGTAAAAACTGGACTTAACTGTATTCTCTACAAAAGCTATCGCTGTTATATTTGCTCCACTGACCAAGAAAACCCTAAAACCAAAAATTACATTTTTATCCAAAAAATGCTACTAGTAAGTCATGAAAGATGCCAGTGGTAAGAGTGAAACTTTGTTATGGTAGATATAACTCTTATTTTCCCCATGGCCCTTGGAGACATGGAACAGGTTTTGAAAAAAAGTTCTGATCATTTGATGCTCTGTAAGCATATTTTATGAATCATTTATATCTGGTAAAATTCTTTGGGTTTGACTTGCCAAGGTTTTTCCCCTTCCTAAATTCTGGAGCTTCAAATGCTAACTGCTTTAAGTGAAATAATCAAGAAACACATTGATGTAGATGTATGCATGTGCTTTTAACACTGGTCATGTTTCTAATTGTAGGGAAAACATAAGCATCATAAAGAACATGAAGAGGAACCACCTGAGGACACAAGTACAGAAAAACCAGAAGAAGATGACAGTGGCCAGTACAAGCCTCCCCGCTGGACTGTCCGAGAGGGCAGCACTGCCAGCTGGGTAGAGGAAGCCAACAAGAAGATGCACCGTTTGAATGTCAAAGAGGCAGAGAAGCTCTATGAAGATGCAGTCTTGAAGTGTCAAGACATATTAAAGCAAAGTAGCTTGGATGGAGAAGAAGAAAAAGAACAAACTAAAACTCTTGTCCTGGCATTGATGGGACTTGCAGAGGTTTATTGCAAAAACTGTCGGTCAACTCACAAAAGTTTGCCTTGGTATCAGCTTTCACAGCTTAAAGCTTTGTCTCTTTATAGGAAGGCATTTAGTAATTGTCACGACATTTTAAAAACAGAACTTGATGATGAATTTCAAAAGTGGTTTGAGGCACAAATGGAAATGGCAAACATGAAGGTTAAAAACCAGCATGAGTTGCTGGCAAAAAATTTATATGAAATCATAACCAAGCCAGAAAAAAGACGGTTTCATAGGGCCAGCAGAGGCACAGTGCGAGATACGCCCGTTATTATTGAGAATATTACTAGCATTCAAAAATATTGTATCAAAGAACTCATTGGCCGCTTTCTTCCAGAAAATGAAGCAGAGGTCGAGTTTTTAAAGGATCTAACGATAGATGAAAACCAAGTGTTGCTTGGTAGTGTGTCTGAGGCCCTAGAGATGGTTGATGGATTATTTCCATTAAGCCAAGGGGAGGCAGATGATGTATTTGATGAAAATGTAAAGGTGCTTAGAAGAAGGACTCTTTCAGGTGGGATTCCTTCCCATGAATATGAATCCATTTTTCCTTCACAAGGAGATAGAGCCTCTACTCCATCTTTTTCCAGTTCAGACTCAGATGGCACGCTAACCCCACCAGAAGGAAAACTTTCAACTTCACTGCACACCTTGGAGTCATATGGTGCAGTGACCATAAAGTCAGTCTTCCTATCACTAGCAGATACAATTGTGCGCTTAGCAGATATATTGTACATGAGGAAACAGCCAGTAAATGCAAAACTATTGTATTCTCATGCCTATGAACTGTACCAAGATGTCCTTCCAGAGAATGCAAAGAATAGCACAATTGCTTACTTACTCAGTAATTTGGGAAAGATTCACACCCAGTTAAATAATATTCCCTCAGGACTTTTCCATCTCCAAAGAGGCCTTGAAATGCTCCAGTCCATTTACCCAGACCGCCCAAATGTAAGTGTTGCCAATACATTGTTCGAGTTAGGAAATGCCTACTTAAAGCATGTTATGAAAGATGAATCCATTTTTGATCATGTTTGTCTAGCCATGAGAAATGAACTCCACAATGAACTGCGCCAGGACATACTGTCTAGTGATATACCCCCACCCCCAGAAGGACAGACTGACAATGATGACTCAAAGTCAGAAGAGTCTGAGAGTGACAAACATGCCATAGACTTAAGCCAACCTGTGAGCTACTTTAAGCAAGCTTTAGATGTGCTGCAAATGCTTCAAGATTCAGATGGAGTTGGAGCTCCTGGAAGTGTTTTTGGTAGAGCACATGTCAAGCTGGGAGACTGCACCTTCATCTCTGGGAATTATGAAGAATCAATGGCACATTTTGAAAAGGCCAAGGAAATATTCCAACATTGCAAGGGTGAAGATGTTTATGAAGATAACACTCATTCCATCTGTATGCTTGGGGCTCTCAACTTCTTCTTGCACAACTACACACAAGCCATTACCATGTACCAGTGTGCCTACTTGCTGTATTTTAGAGGAACCAGGTCTGTGAGGCCAGCCACCTACGATTCTGCTTTCATGTTCTCCCTATGGGGTATGACCTGTCTTGTCACTCGAAACTATGATAAGTGCATCTCATGGTGCAACCAAGCTTTAGATATATACAAGACCTTGTATGGTGTATCCATAACCCAGCTAGAGAGTAATAAGGTTTGGGTGATTTGTGAGACCCTCTACTCCTTAGGATTGTCCTATCTGAAAATTGAACAGTTTGAAAAAGCCCTGGACAACATTGACCTAGCCTATACATATTTGAACCGAGTCACTTGTGCAGATGCAAAGCAGTTGGTGAGAGTCCTGAAAGCACTAGGGGACTGCTATAATGCTAAAGAAGAGCACGAAAATGCTCTAATGTACTACAACAAGGCCCTAGAGTTGGCAGGACCAATTGAAGGATCATCCCCAGCAAGAGAGATAACAGCCCAAATTTTACAGAACCAGCTACTCAGCAACAGTGCAAATGTTCACACCACAATGCGTCAGTACAACAGAACATCTGAATACCTTCAGAAAGCCAAAAGCATTGAGAAGACTCTGAAAGAGGACATTGAAGCAGATATGGTTGGCCTGATGCACCAGCTGGGACAAATCCACACAGTGTTGGGAGACATAGATAAGGCAATTGAAGCTTACCAGGAAAGCCTGGATGCATACAAACAAATGTATGTTACCATTGGTCCGGAGATGGCTGTCACCCTGGGGAACATGGCATCAGTAATGACCTACAAAGCACAATCTTTGCTCAATGAAACAGAAAGAATGAACTTGCTCCAGGTTGCAAATAGTCATTTCCAACAAGCTGTAGATTTGGAATACAATGCCAGGGTTTATGTGGATTATGCCACCTTTCTCTTAAGCCAAAAAGATTATGCAGAGGCAGCAGAACTTCTGATTGATGTTCTTCTCCAGCCAGATGATTCAGAAGTTGTTTTTGGGAAAGTTGAACAGTTTACCCTGCCAGTCAATCTCCAGATGGAAATAGCAGTTCAGGATGAAGTAATCCTACCTATGACTGTGTATTCAAAGTACTTGTCTATTATCTGTTACAGACACATTGGTTTATGGAATGATGCAACAGATTGTCTGATAAGTCTTTTAAATGAAGTTTATCTGTCAAATTCTTCATGTCAATTTGCAGTGCTTGGTTATGCCATGATGGAGCTTGGTTTATTTCTTGAAGCAGCAGATGTTTTTCTAAAGGCTAGTACCATGCAGCCTTTATCTGAGCTTTCAGCTGGGAATAGACTGTTTTGCATTTATGCTGAGGTTTGTGTTACTCTTAGTAAAGGATTTGTAAATCTTTTGGAGTATGTCGACAGGCACATGACCATTCCAAAGTCAAAGTTCAAGAAGGTGGAAGATGTTGATGCAAATGAAGGAGTCCAGCTAGGAAAAACTTTCCCAGAGGCAGCAGGTCCAAAGTCCAAACAGAGAGCTTTTACAAAGAACTTCTCCAAACAAGAGAAAAGGCCATACCGAACCAAACCTTCAGCCAGCAGAGCAAGAGCTGTTAACTCTGAAGAGACGTATAGTACTCCACTGCAAGACAAGTTTTCTGAGTTGCAAGAAAAATATGCCAGGTCAGATGTACTACAGCGGATCCGTGAACTGCAGATGATGGATAATGCTAGAAAGCACCAAACTGCAACTTTTATTGATGAAGTGGAACATTCTGAAGAAAAACCTGCAGTTTTGATAGGAAGGGAACCATCTGCAGATGAATCAGAGGGTGTGGAGAAAGAGTCTTGGGAAGGTGTATGGGAAAGGCCCATTGGAGAAATGAGTGAATATGAAGAAGAAACCTGGGAAAATTCTACCGAAGGCAATGCTAGAAATATTTCAGTCAACAAGTTAGTTCCAGGGGAAAAAACAGAAGAAAAAGAAGAGAATGAAGTAGAAACTTGGGAGGAAACAGTCATTGTCAAGCCTTCTATTGTAATTGATTATAAAATGCCAAACCAAAGGACAAGCTACAACTCATATGAAGTTACAGAATTTCCCAGTGAGGGACCTTCATCAAGTGAATACCAGATTGAGAACAATGTGGCAGATCAAAAAGAAGAGGATGAATTAATTTTTGAAACTTGGGAAGAAGAGACACCAGTAGAAAGCTCTGCTTTTACCACTGCAAGCACACTTGAGAATGAAAGCGTTGATAAAGAAGAAGAAACAGTTGAAATGTGGGAAGAAATTGTTCCGGCTCCAGAAGAAAAACTATCGTCTTCTTCCCCATCTTCAGTAAGTGAAGAGGAGTATACCATTTTCGAGGAGGTTTTTAATCCAGATACAGGACATTGGGAGAGAGTAGCAGTGGCATCAGTGACCACTTCTCCACAAAAGGGTGAAGAAGAAAATGACCAGTACGAAAAAGAAGAATCTGTGCAGTATGAGGAGGAATATGATGCACAACTTGGAAGATGGGTTCAGAAACAGATTATCACCATAACAGACAGAGACAGCACCCCAACAAGAGACACCTCCCCAGGATCAGATGTCACTGTAACTGCCGAGGAAATGGAAGAATTTTATGACCCCAAAACTGGAAAATGGTGTAAGAGAACAAAATACCAGACCCCTATAGACAGTACCTGGGATAACGATAACAGTCCGAGAGGTGGGACCTGGAGGCATGAAAGAATAGCAGATGCTAACCAGATTTCCCAAAGTACTGAATTAGGCCAAAGGACTTTCCATAAGACAATTGCTGAGGGAAAAGCTTTTGACTATCGGCCAGTAAAACAAAATCTTACACCTGTGTTCAACATAGAAGCAAATCAACAACAACATGATGAAGTTGAAGAATTTGAAGAAATGTATGAAGAAGTCTTTGACCCTGTTACTAGAAAATGGATACGAAAGACTCTATCACCTCCCAGCCAAGTTGCACCGTTGACAGAAACCAACAATAACATGGCAAATGGGCACAGAGAAAACTATTTCTACAGTAATAGAGAAACAATAAACAATTGGAAAAACCGGGATGAAGATGAGGAAAACTACTATGAAGATGATAGTGGGTTTGAAGAGGTTTATGATGAAAAGACAGGCCAGTGGATTCGCACTTCTTTAGGGCACTAAATCTGGACCAATATCTAAGTTGTGTAGATATGTAACATTATAGATTTATGGTCACTTAATGTTACTTGTTTTTAATGTTTTTCCTGTATTAAATGCATATTATACCAGTGGGGTAGTGTTTTGAAAATACTGTTGGTTATTGTAGGTGAAACTTGCTTTAAAGACTAGGCAGGGGCATTGATTATTTTCACATTAGAAACTTAGATGCATATGGAATTGAAAGCTTCATGTCATATATATATATATACATTGTATAACTATGTTACTGGCAGATCTAGTAGGTCACATTTTCAAAGTAAAGTTGTTTAAATGTAGCTCTGTTGTGTATATTGATTCACAAGGATAATATACCATGCACATAATTATATTGATTATGATATGAGGATGCTTTTACTGCCAAAATCATTGTTAAAATTCTCAATCCCAAGCGACGCATACACATAACTAAAGCACACATTGATTATGCTGTGATCTTTTAAGGTTAGGAAGCTGTTATTAGCTGACATTTTATTCCAACAGTTGCTGGTATTACAAGTTATTATTTTAGTAAAAATGGAATTTTCCATTGATATTACTGTTGTACCTTTGTCAATCTCTACTTCAAGAGTTGCAAAAAATAAGGTTTTAAATGCCAATTTAGTTATGGCATGCAATTCCTTGTACATCTGAATGCAAATTTGGGCAGCAGTTACATTTTATCAGAAAAGTTTTGCCCTTAGTGACATTTGATCATTGAATGCTTGCCATTACTTGGCAGTTTATTCTTGTTCATTTAAAAGATATGAGTTCCTGTATAAGAAAGAGGATAGTGCAATAGTGGGACAAATGAAAATGATTTATGAATTATTACTTGTATCTTTTTTATCTGCAAAGATATCTGATAGAAAATTACACACATTCTTTAATTTGGTAACTACTAGTATAATGTCAGAAACTAAAAAGGGTTATGAAATGAACCGGTTTGTTGACATATTTAGCAGAAATGATCACATTAAAGTGATGATTATATTAATTCTTGACTTGGTGCTCTTTCAAATATGAAACTTCTCAAAAAGGAATAATGCTATGGTGCCCTGCATACATTTTGATGATACAAGATATTATATATGCTTTTGTCATGTTTTATAGCAATATTTGCTGCATTTAAAATGCATATTATACAACTATTTTACCATTTTATTCATAAAATATTATTCTTTATTATTCTGCTATTTTAAGTCTGCTTTTATATCTCTAAGCATTGTGCTTGTCTGTCTGTGATGTTTGAGAATAGGTCTTCCGCTCATACCCAAAAATATGTAGAATTCAGCAGATTTCTCATCTTCACCAGGTTGTTGCCATTTGTATACGATTATTGAGTAAGTTAGGTCAAAGTCATTGTTGTGGGAGTCATTTAAGTAAACCATAAAGATTTTGTTAGGAAATACATTGTCAATGGAAAATATTAACTTTCTCATTTTCTGGAGAATATGGACGAGTTTTTATCTATTAGAGATATATTTTGTACCACAAATGTTGCATGTTATAAGAATGTCATTTAAACTTGAAATATAGATCAATATATCAACATCTGATTTGCTTCTGTCATTTTCATCATTTTCAAAACTGGCATTTGTGAATTTAAAGTAACTTATAAATGTATTAAATGTTAAGAGTCGAAACATTTGTGTTTGAAAAATTTGGAGAATATGGGAGCTTGAATATGAGCAATTTGGCTAGATTTCATATTCAAAACTTTCATTACTTGAATCTTCTTTATCTACTTGTAAAGATATCTGAGAAAAAATTACACACATTCTTTAATTTGATAACTATGCTGTCAGAAACTGAAAAAGGTCATGAAATGAACAGGTTTGTTGACATTTAGCAGAAATGATCAGGTTAAAGTGATTATTATATTAATTCTTGACTTGGTGCTCTTTCAAATATGAAACTTCGCAAAAAGGAATAATGCTATGGTGCCCTGCGTATATTTTGGTGATCTTTTCAAGGATTTACATTGTATTTACTATTATATTTATAGTCTCAACATTTGTAGTTACAAAATTTTCGGAATATGGGAATTTAAATATTAGCATTTTTGCTAGATTTTNTGCCTTGTCTGGAGAATATGGACGAGTTTTTATCTATTAGAGATATATTTTGTACCACAAATGTTGCATGTTATAAGAATGTCATTGAAACTTGAAATATAGATCAATATATCAACATCTGATTTGCTTCTGTCATTTTCATCATTTTCAAAACTGGCATTTGTGAATTTAAAGTAACTTATAAATGACGGTGTTCATAACAATATCATCTGGATTATTTTATATTTGAGTATCATTTGGTCAAAAAGGAAGTTGCCTTCAATATCGACATGCACATGCCGCCGTGGGGGGGGGTAGAGATAGTGATCTTTTCATAGATTTATATTGTATTAAATGTTAAGAGTCGAAACATTTGTGTTTGAAAAATTTGGAGAATATGGGAGCTTGAATATGAGCAATTTGGCTAGATTTCATATTCAAAACTTTCATTACTTGTATCTTCTTTATCTACTTGTAAAGATATCTGAGAAAAAATTACACACATTCTTTAATTTGATAACTATGCTGCCAGAAACTGAAAAAGGTCATGAAATGAACAGGTTTGTTGACATTTAGCAGAAATGATCAGGTTAAAGTGATTATTATATTAATTCTTGACTTGGTGCTCTTTCAAATATGAAACTTCGCAAAAAGGAATAATGCTATGGTGCCCTGCGTATATTTTGGTGATCTTTTCAAGGATTTACATTGTATTTACTATTATATTTATAGTCTCAGCATTTGTAGTTACAAAATTTTCGGAATATGGGAATTTAAATATTAGCATTTTGGCTAGTTTTTNAATATTAGCATTTTTGCTAGATTTTACCATATTCAAAACACAAAAACCTGGAAAAGTATGTTTGTGTGCTGGATTTAGAATGGGTTGGAATCAAAAGTTAAAAATCGATTAAGCCACTTTTTATTGACTTTTGGCAAAAAAACCCCAAAAAACATGGAAACAACAACTGACTTTTCATTATCAAACGCTGGTTTTGTGTTTCAAACTTGAACATGCCCCAAAACTGTACATTTTAAGAATTTTTCTTTCTTTTGTAAATATGCAGTTTTTCAGCAGGAAGGGTGCTGGCGGTTTTAATCCTTATTGTGGTGTAATGCCCTTTTTATCATTGGTAGAAGCACACTATAAGTATAGCACTTATGGCATCCTTGTTACAGAAATGTATGCAAAATATACTTCAACTGTTTTAGGAGGTTTTACTGGCAATAGTATGCAATATCTAAAAATGAGAGGCTTGTGATATTTGACTTGAAAACAAAATTTAATGTTTAAAACGTTTATTTACAACAACATTGGCACTGCCCTGCAACAAACATTTAATAACAGCAAGTTATTTCTCCAAGGCTGAATTTGACAAACAAACTGTTCAAAGTTAAAATAAACTGAAAAGAATAAATAATAAAAAAGTTTTAATATTAACTGTTGCTGGTTGCATTGTCAGAGTTTATGGTAAACTTCACAGCCATTTTGAACAATATCAAAATCCAGTATTTCTCCAGAAACCAAAGGTAAATCTTCAATAGGAATCTCTATGTCACCTGAAAATGAACAGAGCTTATGATATAAATGTCTCTAAACTGTCAAATATTGTAAAAAAAAAAAGGAAAAATTGGTATGAAACATTCGGACTTACTTGGAAGCTTTTCTATGAACACAAATACGACTGAAATACATTTCTAAAACAAAGGAATAAAACAGGATGTTTTTTTGATGTGAACAAACTATTTAAATGCCATTTATGAATATTATATATTGAAAACATAAGATGAGCCTTAAAACGGCGATACTGACCATTTGTTATTCTCTCAGTAGTCTCTTTTTCTTGGCTGAAAATTATCAATTAATCCATTAATTACATATGAACCAGTGAAAGCTTGTCAAAAGACAGACACAATAAACAGAATAATAACAGTATCCATATTTATAAACTGAAATGTCAATAATATTTTTGAATTTTATAAAATAATTTATTATGAATGAAATAATCACTTTATATCCTTTTAAAGATTTTTCTTGCAAAATCCTGATAAATAAAAATATATTAAGAGGTGAGAGGTCATACTCTGCATTATCAGCTCCAAAGTTATCATCAACTCTCTTCTCACTCAGACCTAAACAAATAAATGATGCATATAGTATAAGAACACAACACCTTTCTTACGTAAATCATGAAAATATAAGATGCAGTCATCTGTTTATAAAGACTTCCAGTAGCTTACAAACAATGTGAAAACCAAATTAACACCATCACAGAAATACAAGCAAGAGCAAAGGTGTTATTTACTTACTTATTTATTTATTTATTTAATTAATTTATGATGTGTTCAGTGCTTGATATTTTCAAAGATAAATTTCCCCATTTATTTCAGTTTTTTATGCTTATGCTAAGCAGAATATATACCTACCTTCTGTATTGTTCTGTTCCTTAGACAGAGCATTATGCTGGTGAAAAGAAAAAAAATACCAAGTTTTGGTAAAAACAACTTTCCAAACTATTTCAGCAGATTATAAAAGCACCTGTATTTTGACAAGTACATCAATTAACGGATTTGTCCAAGGAAAAAAATTTATACACAACATCATAAAGCAGACTCCCATAAACTTATATTGTGATCTTAAATTATTGACCTGTTTCATTTATTTGTTGATTTGAATGGAAACTTACATCTGTGTTTTTGTTTTGTGCACCTTTATGCTTTTTTCCTCCATCAAAAGAAAACTTGAACTGAAACTTCAGCTCTGAAATGTATGAATAAATAAACTGGATTAACCAATACATGCAAGAGATAAGATGATGGAATTTTTAAAACAATTTTTAGTAGCTTTATATAGATCTCCAGCCTCTACTCACACAGGCCCCATTTTTTCATGTAGATTATTCCATACAAGTCATTTATACACAGTAAAACTATTGTTATCATCAAACAGTATCGTTATTAAACACAGAAAAAGTTTTAAATGCTGTTTAGTGTTAACATCTGGGTTCATGTTGTATGCTGCTCACACAAAAAAAATTATAATAATAATAATAAAATAAATAGAGTGTTCCTGCACTGCACATTCCAAACTCAAACTGGCTCTAACCACGCTCGGCTGTCACCTTGATTGGATAGTAAACGGTTGTCGTAAAATCGCTAAAAGATATTAAAACCCGGTGCATAAACTTGAAAACCACCTAGGACAACCTCAGACTGCCACATTAATCCAATACAATGCAAAAATAAACTATAACAAGTGGTTAAAGCCTTCAAACCGAATGTCGTAAAGTCCCCATATACCTCCATAGAGACAATAAAATAGAAGAAGCTTGTGAAACAAGAAAAATCCAGTTCCAACATAATAATCGAAATAAAATACTGCCGGGCATCGGAGCGGCCTAAAACTTGGCACGCTTACCGCTAATACTGCAGGCTACATCATCCCGTCGCTCGTTTGTAAATTCCGTGCATGGCATACGCACAATCAAACCGTATATCCAAATTCCACCTCTGATGTTTGAATTGGTCCTCTCTACAATCCAATTCAGGAAATGACGTAACCGCAGAGGTCGCATTGTCCAATGGCATGGCTTCTTTTTCGTAATGGTAGGTTAGAGAGGACCAGTCTGAGGTTGTCCTAGGTGGTTTTCAAGTTTATGCACCGGGTTTTAATATCTTTTAGCGATTTTACGACAACCGTTTACTATCCAATCAAGGTGACAGCCGAGCGTGGCTCTAACCAAGGAGTTTCAACAGAAACCCCTTGCTCTAACTAATGTAGACATACCATCTTGGACCTCCTTTGGTGGTAGAAGATATAGTCCCAAGTTCACTCTCTTTACAGACTTTGCACGTATACATTCGTCAATGAAGCTTGCATGAAACACTGCCAAATGTTCGTTGTAATAAGCATGACTCTGGTATATACTGCAGCATGAAACAAAAATTATGCAATGAAAATGGTACATGTAGGTTCAAAAGTTCTTACTTGAAAACATCAGTGTTTACACTATATCTCATGAATAAAAAAGTTTCAATAATATAAAAATACATCCAATTAAAGTTATAACTAATGTATAGTTCTTGATTCTTGAAAAAAAATCCTAAAATTGTTTTCCTATGGAAAAATTATTAAAATACCTCTTTGTGTCTTCGCTTTCTGCATCTTCACTGAATAGAAATTGAGCTTTATCTTTTCCACAAATTTCTCCACTACATTTCACTGAAAAATCAGTTACAGTATTCATCAGCTAAAATAATAATATGGCTTCAGTTAACACTACTAGTATGTTCTGAGCAACAATTGTTTATCAACAAAATTCTATTACAAAAACACATTTACTTCTTATACATATCTAAGGGTGCTTTCCCAGAGATGTAGATCGATCTAAAGATTAAGTTTTAGATCGACCTAACTCCCTGGGGGTTCAGGCTAAATTGCAGTCAGCCGAGCGGGCACCATAGTTAATTACCCCCTTACAGCTTTTAGTAGGCGGGACAGACACTTAAGCCGGCCAAGCTGACAGTAATCTAGTGAGACTCCCCACAGGGATAGATCGATCTAAAAATCTATGGAAATGGGGTGTAAGATCAGTAAGGCATGTAATTCATGCATTAGCACTCCTATTTACAGTTTTTGCATGAAAGCAAGAGCCTCAAAAAGTGCAAAATGATTACCAGCTTGTGCATTCACCTTGGTGTGGGAGCTCTCAAATCTTTATCTTACATTTGTTTTGGGCAGGATATGATTTCTGATATATTTATTGCATTTAAAAGTTAGTTTGTCACATCCATTGCTCTTCCAATAGCAGGTGTATGATTTCACAGTGACCTAACTGACAGACAAATAGATAAAACGAACCCTATTCATGGCTCTGTTGAGAGAACAACTGGTTGGCTTTACAGGGAGTGTGTGAGTTGAGGAGATGAGAGGTCAGAGAGATATGAGAACACTACCATCAAGGTACATGCACAAGCTGGTCATCATTTTACCTTTCCAGGCCTTTGCTTTTGTGTGTTAGCACAACCAATTAATATCAAAACCCATAAACATGCTAACACATGAATTCCGTGCTAGCTAAGATCCTTTAATCTAATATGATCAAACAGTAAATGTACATTTTTCACAATACTAAAAATGTCAAGATGTGTCAAAAATTTGGATTCATTTCTTTACCCCACATCTCCTGCCTCTCTGTAGAGACACTTGTGGACATCCACGCTGACAATCCATGGAACACTGGATATACTACATCCTCCTGGGACTTCCTGGTCATCATTCTGTTTGCTTACAAACTGCTCTTTTCCACCATGCTAAAAATGAAGAATACTAAGTACCGTTACTTATTAGTATTTAAAATGGCCAGAAGATAGGAAAACATCAAGTTAAGCAAACTGGACACAACTTGGTCTTTTAAGAATCATTTTAATTAAAATCATACATTCATACAATTTTGAATTCCCATGAAAGAGATGATTCCATATGACCAACTTTTAATGCAATGAAATGGAATATTTTTTCACTACAGACAGATACCTCGACTATGACTGCATTCCAAGAGATTAAGATCAATCCATCCGAATCGACCTAACTCCAGGGGGGTTCACACTAAATTGCTGTCAGCCGAGCGCGCACAGCAGTTAATTACCCCCTTACAGCTTTAAGTAGGCGGGACAGACATTTCAGCCAGTTAAGCTGACACCAATCTATTGAGACTCCCCAAGGGGATAGATCGATCTAAATATCTATGGGTATGGGTCTATGCCACTTCTAAGTTCTATAGAACTACTACAAGACCATACTAGTACCAGGGGCAGATCCAGAATTTTAGAAGGGGGGGGGGGTCCATTTTTTTAGGGATTGATAGGCCTCGAATTGCAAGACTGACCCACACTCCCTTGGTGTCAGGGGCATGCCTGAAAAAATGGGTGTTTTGGAGGACAAATGGCACTATTTGGTACAGTTTTACAACTATGATTCAGCTTTTTTGGTACATTTTTTTTTCAATCAGAAATCTAAAGGGGGGGGGGCAAGACCCCCCTGACCTCCCCCCCCCTTAAATCTGCCACTGTAGTACTACTATGTGTACAGAATCAACAATAAATACCTACTCCTAAAACATCTTTATGCTTGTTTCAATAAATAAACCACTTATAAATTTATCTTAATAAACTTGCCACACTGCAGGAATGTCTATGTCACCGGCGGGAACCCACTGGGAGACTGTCAGTTTCACAATTTTGTTCATTTCAAGAAGCACACTTTTGGCACATACGCAGATGTTTGACGGTTGCTAAATCAGTGCATCTCAAATGTCTTAGACATTATTTTATGACTTTAGACATTATTTTAGACATTATACATCGGCATCTGCAAAAACATTTCTAAACATTGCAACAGGATATATATGTTTACTCCTGTTGCAATGTTATCATTAAAATCTTCAGATAAATTAATCTGTTCCTTTGTCCCTGGAGCCAATTCTTCATCTGGAAATTCCTAATAGACTGAAGTGAGACCATAGCCCCAGGTGACATATCGTAATCATGAAATTCTTTCTTATTAGAATGAAGCAAAATACCACTGTGAATCCTTCCTTCATGTTTTACACAGCTAGTTTTTGAACTAAAATTTTTTTCACAATACTGGCATTTTTGGTTTTTCTCCAGTGCGAGTCCTTTCATGCCATATACATGCAGTCTTGTCACTAAATTTTTTTTCACAATACTGACATTTGAATGGTTTTTCTCCAGTGTGGATCCTTTCATGGCGTATACATAAATTCTTGTCACCAAAACATTTTTCACAATACTGACATTTGAATGGTTTTTCTCCAGTGTGGATCCTTTCATGGCGTATACATTTTCCCTTGTCATTAAAGGTCTTTTCACAATACTGACATTTTAATAATTTTTCTCCAGTGTGAGTCTTTTCATGTTTTCTACATAACATTTCCTGATAAAACACTTTTCACAATACTGGCATTTGAATGGTTTTTCTCCAGTGTGAGTCCTTTCATGGCATACACAATTACTTCTCTCTCTAAAACTCTTTTCACAATACTGGCATTTGAATGTTTTTTCTCCAGTGTGGGTCCTTTCATGTCGTATACACTTATATTTCTCACTAAAACTCTTTGTACAATACTGGCATTTGAATGGTTTATCTCCAGTGCGAGTCCCTTCATGGCGTATACATGGGCTCCTATTCATAAACCTCTTTTCACAATACTGGCATTTGAATGATTTTTCTCCAGTGTGAGTCCTTTCAGGGCATACAAAACTACCTTTCTCTATAAATCTCTTTTCACAATATTGGCATTTGAATGGTTTATCTCCAGTGTGCATCCTTTCATGTTGTATAAAATTTCTTTTCTTACTAAAATTCTTTTCACAATATTGGCATTTGAAAAGTTTTTCTCCACTGTGAGTTTTTTCATGTTGTGCATGTCTACAACTGTTTGAGTTTAAAACAATTTTCACACTTGCATTGGAAAGGTTTTTCTTTAAATTAATTAATTCCATATTCAACGGCAGTATTTTGAAGAAAATTTGTCTTTACAGCACCAAAACATTGATGGTTTCTCTCTTTTCTCTCTAGTCCTTTAATGTATTCAGCAGTTTGTTCTGTTAATAACTCATCTATCACAGATTTTGCCTCTGTATCGAAAACAACGTTTTTCATACGTCATTTTGGAGTTCCAACATAAAATGCAAGTGGGCTTGCGTGAACATGTTTCAACCCTTCGTATTTACAGAGGTGTAGACGCTACCCGTTAAATTTCTTTTGCACACTTATTTTCTCGAGCAAACGAAACCGTTGACGATACCTACGTACTCCCCTTGGTAGACTTCGGTTAATTTTAGAACCACATACAAGACGAGCAGAGACACTCCTGTCGGCGGTAAACTAATACGTACAGCAACAAGGCTTTATTTTATCTTTAAAGATGCTCCGGAATTACTTATTACCTTGGTTTATAAAAAGTTTTATTAACAACGCCACCAACCGAATACATCCAGCAACGTGCATATGACATAGCTTTGGCGGTGATCAGTGATAAATTCTAACAAAACGGAACCACCGCCATTAGTTTTATTTTTACGCACTTGCGCAGTACAAATTGTGTTCCTCCGCGTTTGTGTAGACAAACTTAGCTGATCACAGATTCTTTTTGAGAAAAGGGTGGCTTTAAATCGTAATTTTTTGTAATTTTATGTTAATTCCAATGATTCAGGTTCATTTTTTCCTTCATATTTGAAAGGAACATCTGTGGAATATTTTGTTTCGATATGACTTCCGTTGATATTTAATAGCAGTGGTTAGGCTGCATGTTGTGCCGGTTAACATTGTCAGTTAAGACAGATCTTTGAGATAAATTAAGTAATTTTGCACATTATGTCATTTGAAAAAAGAAGGTCAGACTGCACAGGTTTACCTTCCGGGTGGATGAGAGAAGAAGTTGTTCGGAAATCGGGGTTATCAGCTGGTAAAACCGATGTCTATTATATCAGGTTCGCCATTTTATTGTTTATTAATTTTATTGTCGACTTAAGGGAAGGGCTAATTTTTACTATGGTCGTTCTTTGGATGTAAAAAGTGTAACGTTCTTTGTAATGACACCCAAATTTGGCATCATTCTTACAACTATCGAAGTTCGTTAAATATTTTTTAACAAATTTAATAAATTCACCATATATTATTATGCACATTAGCATCTGTAAGAAAAATACTACCTCCAAGATTCAAATTCGAAACAACCATAAAATAATTTTCAAACCAAGGTGACCAACATACACTGCATAACTTAAGGTGCATATTCTAGCTCAACGTTTTATGACTGGAACACATATTTATACCTGAAAACGATTTGTACTCTGCTTTCATCCTTTTTGAAGTCAATCATAAATCTGTTTGCCTGCCCCTGACCAGTCTTGTTATATTATGTCACTGCTGACATCCTGTTTTGCTTTGGTTGCCAGTAGCCTTTAAGCACCGGTGCACAATACAGCATAACACACTGGTAAAAAGGACTCCAGTGGCAATTAAACAAAGTAGACCGTCATTTCCAACAAAATGGGGTGATATAAAAGCAATCTAGTAGGTAATAAACATTCTTTTCTAGGCAATAATACCAACCAACATGGCTGCAGACCCAACAATAAACAACTTTTGTCAACTTGTTAAGTTATATCATTTATATTAATTACCTAGTAATAGATTTAGCTTTTACATTATCATCCTATTTTCATTGGAATGACCATTTACCAGGTTTGCTTGTGACTGGACTCGATTTTTCTAGTGTGTTATACTGTGTTATGGTGTATTGTGCAATTTAGGGACATCCTTTAAGCAGTGGTGGAATGGAAGATACAGTTGCTTTTTATATGATATGTATTTGCCCACTCCACTGTTTTTTTTTTTTTTTTTTTTTTTTTTTTTTTAAATATTTTTTTTACTGTTGTGATTGATAATGTAATTTTATTTTTCAGTCCTGATGGAAGAAAATTTCGCAGCAAACCACAGTTAGCAAGACACCTTGGGGATCTCTATGATTTAACAGCTTTTGACTTTAGAACAGGAAAAATTGTCCATAGTTCGATTAGGAAAAGTCGTCGAATGAAAGGTACATTAATAAGCAAAAAAAAAAAAAAAAAAACGTGACAGCCAGTTTGCACATTGCCAGAACCCTTTGTCTGTAGATGTAGTTGACTTGGGACTAAGAGATAATGTTATATCTTAGCTGAAAATATTAGTAGCCATTTACTTTTTGAAAATTGCCCAAAATTAAAATAAAATATTTTCAATTATATCCTTTTCAGGTCTGAGGCATGATTCTAGTCTTGTGCTTCCTATTCGCCAAACGGCCTCGATATTCAAGCAACCAGTCACTGTCATCAGAACACAGCCTCAATCAAAATCACGCACAGACTTAAAACATGGACCACAAGATCCCCCAAAACAGGTGATCTAGCTGGCTATGATATCATCCATTATTGTTTTTATCACAATATGTCAAAACTCAGTAGTCCATCAGGGGTCAAGGAATCTCCTGTTCCAAAGCAGAAACATCATTTAGTGATTGAACAGTTTTACGAGATATTACTGGCCTGGCTGCAATTTTGCTGATATTTTGTGTTGGACCAGTGACCAGTGGACTGATTTCTTGTTAAAATTGGTTTAATTGATATTGTTCAAGAGTAAATTGTTCTGAATTCATTTGCATAATGTTGGTGCTGTGCTAACATAATTTCATCTTATTATACAATTATACCTTCATCATCTAAAGCCAATAACAGATGCATGCATACACATGCCTAGTTTGAGCCTAAATGTGCATCTATAGTCATACAAGTCTTCAGATGAGAATGTAAACTAACTGTTGTTTTGCTTTGATAGGAGATTAAATTTTAAGTAAACCCAATCAAAAAGGTCCAACAAATATTTTTGAACAGGTTTTGTGTCACGATAGAGATTAATGATTGTGAGCAAGTCAGCCTCTTGACTAAAAGGTTTTTGAAATATATATATCAACCAGATGTTACCTTCAATTTCAGTTATTCTGGGAGAAGAATCTCCAAGGCATTGATGCTTGTGATACATCAGAAAATATATTCAAAACCATAGAGCTACCTAAAAATTTACTAGGTATGTATGTGGACCAGTTAATAATGTGCATTTTTTTTTTTTTGGTAATGACTTCATAGTCCATAGTTCTTCAGTACACTCTTTATCTACCTATGTAATCTGTTATGCAGACATTTGTTTAGGTTTTTTTGTTTTTTTTTTTTAGTATTTCTTTCAATACAATTTAAAACAAGATTCTCTGGTTTGGAAAAAAGAGCTGTTATTTTTCATAGGTGTTGGACCAGATTTGAGTGAAGAAAATCTACTCCAAAGTATAGCAGCAGCACTTCACTTGAGCAATGAACCTTTACTAGGACAGGGTGCATCAAAATCGGCCATAGACAAAAACCCTGGAGTTAACATCAACCCTGGGCAACCTCTTATACAGGTATGATCATTTCTTCTCTGTTCAAATCATACAAGAGATTGCGTACGTTGATTAACGGTGATAGACCATCATTTGAAGTGTCAACCTCTTGTGCACTACAAATTTTAGGAGACTTCTGCCTCCTTAGGTGTTGTATCCTATGGCTTTGGTGTCATGGTATAGCTAGCATGTCTAAAGATCTTTTATCAGTTAGAGGTATGGCGTTTTGCTTCAGTCAGTGATGCTTTAAGAATATGGTTCTTTGAGTGTTAATGGAATTCTGCACTTCTTTTTAGGAGCCTTATACCATCTTTAACCTTTTTTGTTTAGAAAGTACTCATCAGTGATGAAGATGTGAGGCGACAAGAACACCGAGTGAGAGCAGCAAGGAAAAAACTGCAGGAAGCTCTGGAGTACTGGGGCACAGATGGACTTTGAATCCACAGTCCAAACAGTAAGTTGGGTTTTAGAGGTATACTTATCCTGCTTTTTTTTTTACTTCCTCCAACAAAGGAAGATGTGTTGTCATCGGCATTATTTTTATGTTTGTTAGTGGACTTATATCTCATAAAGGTCTACCCTCTTCACAAACTTTGATAGGATAGGTATTTGATAAGAAAGGAAAGAATTAATTGCAAATTCAACAGAATGCCATTAGAATGAAAATTCTTTATATATTCCTGGATATTTAAAATTTATTCTAAAAATTCTGAGTGCATTTTGTCCTGGTCAGCCTCATTGTTTTGTTTATCTTCAAAACCTTTGAGATGTATTCCAAATGGAGAAATATTGAATGGTGAAATGCACTTACAATTTACCCGCTATCAGCTTTAGGTCATTTGAAATTTCCTCCTGAATTCCCTCTGGGTGGTTCTGCTTCATCCCTGCAGATTCCTAATAAGTGTGACATGGGCATTATGTAATGGAGTTTTGAAATATTTTCCCTGAAGACACTGTCTTTTGTAACCACTCTTTCTAAGATTAGCTAAAATGATATTGGCAGTAGATAGTAATGTTTGAAATATTCTAAATACTTATTTTGCCTTTTAGATTCAAGGGAAAAGAAACACTGCTGCATAGGAAAGGAGGGCAAGAAAGTTTCCAAGCTGCTTCATTTAATCAAATACCAGAGTCTGTGACTGTACAATACACACAAATGGTCTGACTTAAAATAATTTTAAGTGAACAGCAGCTCAAACACATTATCAATGTTGTATATAAGGAATCAAAAATGCCTCTTCATATTCATTAGCTTTTTTTCCCAGAAAGCAATTTGTAGAAGTGAGAGACTATTAACTCACCATTGATACTCTTATGGAATCAAAGTAATCTGCTACTTGCTCTTAGATAAACTTATTGAGACTGTCATCTCAGAACAAAGCCGGTTGAGATATCAGAAAAACATCTAATATATTTTATTAAAATTTTAATAGTGTATATAATAAACTATTCAAGAAATTTTGGGTGTTTTGGTAAAGAATTTTAACCGTTTCAGTGAATAACTTAACACTTAATTTTGTGATTATGCCCCTTTTGAGATAATATTATTTGTTTCCTGGATTCCAAGCTGGAGGACTTTTTTGAAGATCTGAACAGTGCTGTGCAAGATATGCATTGCTTTTAAAATTTTTTGTCGGGTATTTTTTACTTGGTTTAGATTTTATTATAAGTTGGGTGCAATTAGAATCTGGCATCTGAGACCAATGAGGAGCCTGGTTGGGCCTAGGATCGTTGTCAGACTGTGATCAGACCAACACTTCACAATGGTGAATAGAGCAGTGCTTTCTACTGACTGTAGTGGTGGTAAGTAGTTTATTACATCAAATATTACTATGTTGTTTTGTCTGGCTGTGTGTGAACTGTCAGTGTTTGTCTACCAGCAATTTCTGCAGTTATCCCCCTATTTGTTTCCCTTTAAGTTTGCTATTGTCCCCCAGAAAATATCAACTTGGGGTTAAGGATCAAGAAAGCCGACTTCAGATGTCAAGAAATATTTAGTGTCAAGAAATATTTCCAAAAATTATATCTTCTTTAAAGACATATGATATGTATCAGGCCTCTATTTATATGAATTTAAGTTTATGAAATCTTAATGGTTTGTCCATGAAAAGGAATAAATTATTTGTTAAGTTCAAAATAAGTGACAAAAGTAAAAGTAGCTTGAGTATGTGAGGAAAACATGGAGGTAAAAGTTCAATGTTTCAACATTCAAATTTACCCTGCTCAGGTGCTCATAAAGAGACGTGAGGAACTGCATCCTTACCGTTATTACTTTATACTTAAAGCAGAGTAACACCCCAGTTGTGTTACAGTGATTTTTGTATAATATATAGGCGACTGTTGCTATCAGGGGCATTTTCTTTTTCTTTTTTTTAACACACTGTGTCTGGACACAAAGCCATCTGGCATTCAAGGGAGTTGGACTCCCAAGCCAGAAGTACATTGAGTAGATGGGCATTTCTGGCAATTTGTTTCTTTTACACACAGTATACTTAAAATGATATTGTGAACCCAGTATCTATATCTAGGGTTTCTTTGTCCCAATTCTCCCCATACAATATAGCACATGTGCATTCAGTGCACACTAAAATTAGCCTGATTGGATTATTATTATTATTTGTTTGTTTGTTTGTTTTATTTGATACAATTATCATTTGTTAGTTCCTTTACTGGTTAACCAAGGTGTGTTTGTTTTTGCTTATAATCATACCATGATGCATTTACCTCTTATTTAGTTGGTCTCTGTGATCAACTATCGCACATCAACAGCAAGGAAGAGAATTTTCTTTGAATGTGTTAATTGAGCCCATCAGATGTTACTACTGCAGCATTTTAGCCATTGATTTCTTGTACGTTTTTCATTATGTGCAGTGCAATTAACTAATTCTGCTTTATTATTTTATAGGGTAAGCTACTCTAATTTTAGACAATGGCATATTTTTTCTGTCATGAAGGCATACTTAACAATATACAGTGATGGTAAAAATTCTAATTAGTCTACTTTATCAACTTTGGTTTCTTATTTCAGTTTGAAGTATTTGTTGAAATATCAGAGTGCATAATTGTTTTACATGTGTGTTTAAAAGAGTGCAATTAACGGGGGTTGCTCAGTGAGGTCCATTTTTATGTCACTTGATATGATAAAATGAGACTAATTATAAATTTACATTGCAGATTTAAATGTATAAAGATGGAGTCATCAAATCCAAAGACAAAGTAGGTAAACTGACAGATATATAGTCAAGGGCTCTTAATGTCAACAGTCAGTGATTCATCAGCAGGGTGTGGGTTAACAAATTGATTTAATAAACACTCCAGCAAACTTCAATTGATGATCTATTAAGTTGACTTCACAGAGCATTTGTTTGAATTACAGTATGTATGTCACATGATATGGTGAAGCTAGGGTATAATATGTGTTTGATGCTTAAATTTTCAGTTTTGCTGAGACTCTTTCTAAAATCTGTGAAAAATGTAATGTAGGTTTCTCAATTTTGTTGCATATAGAAAAAATTTATCTATAAGATTATAGAACAAAACCTTTAGTTTCTTCATCTAGTAATATTTTTTACTTTCAATATTTTTGAAGTGTTGTCATTACAAGAGTCTGCAAATTGTTCCAGGCCTGTCAATAAAACATATTAATGAAAATAATACTAATCAAAGATAATGACCACTAACAATGTGCAAGACAGGTAAAGACCTAAAACGGTCGTATCCTTCTCTATATGCTAGCTAGAAGTAATGACTCATAGTATGGCACAATCACGGGCAATGTTGCCTGATATTTTGTCATGACTCAGGGATAAATTATGCCGCATGTATCAGTTGTACATGATGGCAGTGTTTGATATTCCTTGTAAAGTGAGAAAGCAAACTCTGACTCAAATCTTGACAATCCTTGGGATATATTTCAGTTTTGCACTGTTTGATGCAATTTTTCTTGGTAAAATGTTTCATCTGAAATGGGGATTTCATTGTTCTTTATTTCTGGATGTATGGGATGGGCGTAGAAACTAATTAGCTTTGATTATTTTTAACCAAGTTGTGCTTAAGGTTTCTGTAGTGCAACACCTTTTGATGTTAAACATAGTCATTTTAAGTGTAAACTGTCCTTGGTCTACTAAACGTTTACTTTACCATTTTGAGGAAGATGCTTAATTTCATCTTTTCTCATTTACAATTATGTCACTTCATTCTGTTTATCAGTTGCATCGCTAGTTCTTATACTGGGTGATTTTTCAAATAGTAAAAAAATAAGTAATTTGCTTGAGGTATGCTTATTATTTTATCAACTCATTTCTGTCGTTTTTCCCTCTCATTTCTATAATCCAATGATCTAATTTTAGACTCCCTATTACTTGTTTGATGAACTGTGTGTGGAATTGACAAAAAAAGGAAATTAAGTTGGAAACATTGATCCTGCTAACTAACCACACAGAAAATTACGGCTGAATTCAATTAATTAGAATAATGTGAATTATCATCAGTATTTCTGTATTCATTGATTGTAAGGTCATGTTAGTTTGACTTCTAGGGCAGTTACCAAGGTGCCGTTTCCTTACAGATGCTCACATTGATGTCTGTATTTTGGTCCTTTTTGTACAACAAAACCATGCAGCATACTTTAAAGACATCACATAGCTTGTTTTTATACTTACACCTACATTCTTCTCATAAAGTCCTTATCAAAGCAATATGACATGATATATTTTATATTAATATAAGTTGTAACATCATTTATTCATGGCAGCTTCTCAGTTAAGTGAGATCCCAGGAAGAGTTTAAATTGCATACTGAAATACCAAGGTTGTGATCTGCTTGTTCAAGATAATGGACTAGAAGGGGATTACTGCAGAAATGTGTGAAATCACCTCTAGGGAGGAGGCAATGTTTCTTTGAAGTTTCTGGGAAATCGTGCATAGCAGCACTGGATATGTATTTTGTGTTTTGAAAGGTCTTATCTTAATTTTTGTACCAATTGAAATTTAATTTGTGGACTTACATCACAGCACAATATGTCTTCTCCCCCCCTTGTTGATTTTTTAAAAATTTCAGCCAGGTCACTTATGTAAGTTTTTTTTTTGTAAGTCATTTATAGTTGTTTGATGGGTCATAAAAGAACATTCTCAGACAAGAAAAATGAACCTGCCTTTTGTGTATAATTTCAAAGGCATCCTTTTATGTAAGGAAGACAACAGCTGCAGACCAATTTATTTGTAGATTTGCTTATATGCCACTATCTTGGCTTTGTTTTTAAGGCACGAAGTTTAGGGAAACAGTGATGTGACCTGAATACTTTTTCATGCAACTTTGAGCTATTTTCTGAAATTTATAGCTATTTTTCCTGACATTCATGCTAACTTCAGTGACACAGCCTTTACTTTTAGCAAATCCTTAAGTGACTAGCATGACTGAACAACAGCTTAAATTGTATTGATTATGTGAAATAAGATGTGGAGAAGATAAAACATGCACTGATGACACCTAATGATACACCTTTGGCTTACAGGATCAGGAGCAGCTGTGGAAATTTGAACCAATATATCAAAGAGTATTGCAGGACAACAGCTTTTGTGCCATGACCTTTTAAATTTTTAATAAGGGTGTACCTTTATTGAATTTTAAAATGTGTTTTAGTGAAGTTTTGCCTTAGATCTCCAAAGGAAAAGGAATAGTGGTGTTTAATGAGTATCAAAGATAACATTTAAGGACCTTCAAAAATAAAGATAATATGTTAATCTTGGCTAAGTTAAAAATATTCATTACTTGCTGCCAATTGGGACTAATCTCAAATCCCTTGTTACCAATAAAATTCAAATAAAATCCAGATACAACTGCTAGAATTATCTTGTTTAATGGACTAATGAAAAATTGCCTGTCTTGCTTGTAAGTCTGTGCCTGCTTATACCTTTCCCTTTTTTTGAAGAACATAGATTTTATGGGGGTCTAGATTTTAAAGAACCTGTTTAGATAGGGGGTTAAGGATCATCAACCTTCCTTTAAACTTCAGCAACTTTCCCTTCTACATCAAAGTGATACATAATTTTGGTACCAAGTTTTGGATCTAACTGTTACTGATCAACTGAAATAAACCTGTTCAAAACTATATGAAAATATTGTTATGGTGGATTTTAATTTTGATATTCAGGAAAATTCATTTATCCTTCCATATCAACTTCATTTAATATATTTTTTTTTTCTTTCTTGTTTAACGTTTGTATACGTGACAGCTTTGCTGTCTGGTTTTTAATTTCAAGTTTTCATCAAAACGTACAAATTAACCCCACTTCATGTAACTAAGACTTGCATATTTTCATAAAACTTGATGATCCTCTATATTGATATGTTAATAAGTGTTGCAACTTTTTAAGTACCTGTTCAACTGAGATAGTTATAAGTAAATGAAGTCCCTTGACAAAAACTTGATGGTGCTCTTGAAAGTATAGATAAGCATTA